AGCTTTCTAGCAGTCTGGCTTCTTGTATGGGGCTTTCTGTAAATATGAGAGCGTAAATTGTTGAGCAAAGAGCTGCAATGTCGTTCTGCTCAACAACTTCAATAACTCATGATCCCACGGGTTTAGTCATTTCACTTGTGTTTGATACTGAATAATTGATGATTTTGTGCCACTAGAATATTGTGATCAAATCTGGTGGGCTCTCTGAATTAATTGCATGTGGTAATTCATTTTGGGACTGGGCTGAAGACCAGGATTATGGCTCATTTCGTAGCAGCCGTTGTATGTCCCCATGTCATTCTTGGGACATTTTTATGGAATGAAAACCACCCTAATTAGAATTTTGGAGTTTGTTTCAATGTGCGCATCTTTTCTCAATCACACTTGGATGCTACTCTTGAAAGAAGATGCCGGGCTCAGTGGAAAATCTTTCAGCCCCTACATTCTTTGTGCCTATGACAGATCCCAAGTGTTGCACAATACTTCCAGATGTATCTCATGGGGTCAACTGCATATGGCCTTTATTTGTGAGGCCGGTTTCTAGCAAGGAAGCTGCGGAATCGATTGTGGAAGGTTTATGGGATCCTTGGACTAAATTCCTACCCACATTTCTTGCAGAAAGGAAGGCAGCCTTCCTGGCCATGCATCATTGGTCGTTATTCATGCGGAAATGGGACCAGTCTCTGTTGCATGAGTCGCGCTGGTAGGTATCCAAATCCCACTATGGGAAAAGGGGGGCGTCCGAGCAGCGTCCGAAGGCCACGCATGGACAGAAATTTCGTCCGCATTTTTTTTCGTTTTCAGGGCGCTTGGACGCTCCGGACACTTCTCTTTAGTGCTCGGACAATTTTCCTTAGTGCGCATACGCTCCGGACGCTTTGTGGTGCGCTCAGACGGTGCCAGTGGCGCGCTTGGACGCGTCTGAGGGCCTCGGGCGCTGCTCGGACGATCCCTTTTCCCGTATTGTCCAGGTTGCTTTTTCGAAATGCACCGACACCTCTGAATTGAGGTGTTATGGGCCGATTTTTGCGGTGGAATCGGCACATTCGTGAGTGACAGCAGCTCGCTTGCCATGACGCGCCCCAATGCTCCCACAGCACCCACATGCAGTCTACCATCCGTTGGTTCCCCGCTTTGGGTTTGCAGCCGTGACAGCGATGATCCCTGCATCAAGGCGTCCTTGACATCATGTCCATCGCGGTCAGTTTCGCCATCGCAATAAGACCGCAAGCGCCGCCTACCACATGGTAAGCAACTAAGTGCGCAATGACACAATAAAGGTAGCTCATCCTCTCGTCAATACGGTTCTTTTGACGATATCCACCCGATGAGGACCAGCCAAAACTGGGCAGGCTCACACCAGTCTCTCATATGCCTAAAAACTTTGCGATTTACTTCCTCCGTCCCATATTAATTGTCGTCTATTTGAGGAAGAAATCTCGTCATGAAAACTGCATCCAAATTACAAATGGAGGTCAGAATCCGAAAGATTGGGTCTCAAAACCCTTAAGTTCGAATTTTCAAGAAAAAATATTTAGTTCTCAGGCCTATGAGCTGGCCCCCAAAATTGCCTTGACACAGTCCAAAAAATGCGCGTTCAATTTCCGCGGTCTTGCAGGCCCCCCTGGTTTGGGGGCGCTCCCGTGCCTAGGGGTTGCAACGCCAATGGTTGCCACCTTTGGGGCAAAGGATAGGGTCCGGCACATGGCATAGCACTCGCCAAACACATTCAAACATGACTTTATCCTTGTCTCAAGCAGCCATCGTCACAGTGTTGACGATACCAGAAATCGCCGGTTTTCTCGATCTCCGATGGGGGGACCTCCAACGAGCGGAAAGGCCAATGTAAACAACCTTGAAGCCTAGGATCAGTGCGTTCTGTCGCTCCAAGGCTGTTTGGTAGCCTTGCTTGGATATTTCGCCTTAGTTGATGCTTGAATCGGGACTTGCATGGCCCCTAAGCTGGAAGCCCCAAAATTGCCATTGTTTGTGGATACAGTGCCAAACGCTTGTGCACGGTACACAATCCATTGGAACCTAGCAAGACTCCATCACTCTAGAAGATCCCAAATTCACCTTTGTGGCCATCCCCCTTGCACCCAATCCTCTAAAGTTCCGAAACAAGGACATGTCGCCATTCCCGTGGCAATTGCCAATTCACTAATTGCTTGTGCCATATCGAGGTGATAGCCATTACCATCTCCGGCTCCTAGTTAAAAGGATTGGGAGACCTCCCTCAGTTGCTTTGACAGTGGCAAAAGAGCTCGAAAAGCCTTGACCAAAAAAATTTGCGTCTGAAACGTCACTCCGATCCCCCAGATCAAGCCTAAATTAACGGTGCAAGCCACGGCGAGTTCGACGATCAATGCATTCGAAACACGTTTTCTATCACCATACCTCTTTGCAAGCACCCTAATGACCTCCACTCTGAACAGCATGAATAGTTTTGCAGGGACGAGTTTGTTTCGCTGCCGTGAAGGAGTGCTCCTCAAAACAGCCAAAAACAGCTGTTTTTGGCGCAACGTCTAGAAACGACCCTTTTCTGGCAAGAGGACCCTTGCTACAAAGTACTGCCAAATCCTCAAAACTTAATGGATCAACTTGAAATTTTCATGGTACACTCCAACCTTCTAAAAACAACTTTAGGTAAAATTTCATTACAAAATAATGCAGGCACGGTAGAGAAACAACGTTTCAAAGTCATAGACGACAATTAATATGGGACGGAGGAAGTATAATTTGTCGGCTCCGAATGACAGATGGTATTGGCTGCCTTGAGTAAGGTACTGAGCAGGGCACGGCGGTCACACTGAATGGCAAGTTGCCTATTGTGTGTTGGAAACTCGCTGGTCATCACAAACTCTATGGCTCAATTTTCCAGGCAACCGTGTGGCAATTGACACCCTCCACGCATTTGTTGGCGCTTGCGACTATGAGAAACTGGGGTTCTTGCGTGTCCGACTCAAAGACAATTGGTGAATTTCTTAGAAGGCTATCATTCGGAGATAATCTTTCAAGCAAATGCTGGAACGTTCCATCATTTTCGGCCAGACACATCGTCCTGATTGGGTTCCTTTCTCACGGTTCGAGCCAAATATTCAAATATAGTTCAAAAAGTTTTGTCCTTGCAGACGCAAAAGAAAGTCCTGATGGGGACACTCCTTTAAAAGAAGTGTCCAGAGAATTTCAAAAGAAGTTCTTTTGGAATTTGGCTTGTGGGGCCAACTGATGAAATGTTGTAATTGACTTGTTTAACCCCAACTCTCATATGCAGGGCGACTTATCTTCCAGCCCGAGCTTCGGCTGCTTTCAGGTAATCTGCTGTCATGGCATAAATACATCATTGCTTTTCTCACCGATTCTGGCCTGATCTCAGTACAAGAGAAGTTCTAAATCAGTGTAAGTGCAATCTTCGCAGCGGGGGTGTACTCTACATGCCAGGCTAGATTTTCATGGCTTAAACGCAGCGCATTTGCAAGTATTTGTGCGCAATTGAGTTTTACAATTTTAAACACTAAGCACGTAACAATGCTCAAATGTGAGCCCTGTATACATACAGCTAGTACACAGGGAGTCTGGGGAGTGGCCATGGGAGGATCGTATTTTCGACGGCGCGTTTTCAATGTAGAAAGCCTAAAATTGGTTGCATAAACCTGGAGGCCGAGCCTGTTACATGCGAACTTGTTTGCACATCATGTGCAAACAATTTCCATTGCGAACAAATTCATAAGCCACGCTTCAGCGATGGCACAGAGTCATCTAGCCTGTCTACCAGTATGGAAGATTCCCGTCATTTGTGCAATCAACCACTTCAAGGATTTTCTTACCACGAAATTGACTGTGGGGCTCATTTTCTGGAGCTCGAGTAGCAACGACACAACCGTGCCAATCAGTTCTGCAATTTTCGTGCCGATTGCGTTCATTGCATCAGTCAGTTCCCGAAGATTAAATACATTTTCTCTTTCACTGCAGTGCCTATGACGGTGTACGTCCAACCCAATCGAATCTCTTCGATATAGCCATGCAAGAACGCTGTTCGTTTCTATCCCTGCCGCCAGCTGGCAAAAATCACTTGTTTCCATGGACTACCATCGACAATCGCTCCTGAGAATTTAGGAATTGGCGGATTCTGATTTCGTGCATGCAGTACCTTTGTGAACTACAATGCACCAATAGTGGAGACTGCTTTTCTCGGGCAAAACAACGATCTGACGACTTCCTCCTTGCCTTGAAATGCAACATGTCCTGAATGAGTGACCCACGGGTCATTGTTCCAATATCCTTCGCCAGAGCGAGGTGCGCTTTCCGCGCATTCAGGCACGCAGAGCAGCCAACAAGCCTGCGCTCGCTCTCGCGTTCGGCAGAGGCGGCCCACCTTCAAAGGGCGAAAGCTGCAGTACCGTTGCAACGACCTGGCGGCGGACTGGCAGACAACTTCGAGGGTGCTTCTGGTGTACCTTCCAACGACGCGACATACCGCCTGCCCTGGACGGGTCAATACCGTGCCGTCCCGTGCCATGGGTGTGGTGCCGCGCGCCATCAAGCCAACCAGCGCCAGCGGAGGGTGTCAGAGGGGGCTGTGGGGAGGTGGGCTCCGTCCTTGTGTGCGGTCAAGGACTGCGCACCCGGATGCTCCTCTCCTTTTGTACAGGCTTACTACAATCACCTAAAAGTCCAACTTCTTCAATTACATTTAGTGGGTTTAAATAGAAGCACGGTCTGGGACAACGCGTCCATGGGCTCAACGCCCAATTCAGCTGCTTCGGAATGGTTCGCCCACTCGGCGACTCTCTGTTTCCGAAACCCCAGACGCTATGCCATCACAGCCTGAAGTTCGCGCCGGGCGTTGCCGCAAAGCTCCTGGCTGCAGCAAACTGCGTGGCCTTACGTTGTCTGCATATTGATGAAAGTTATTGCCAGCAGCGATAAAGCGCACCGATGCAGCGGCTAGCGTGCACGGAAAGGCATACGGCACCTCCCCCAGCCCCCCACGGCGGCCCTCATGTCTGCTCCTTTTCCGATTTTTCGTCCCCGCCCTTTTCCGGTTTTTCCTCGTCGACCACTCCCAACCCCACCGCTGGCCGCCCTTCCGCGACTTGCGGTCCGGCACCCGCCAAGGCGCCGCGCTGCCGCTCCCCGAGCTCCTCCCGCCGAATGGCCTCCTCCAGGCCCGACGGCAGCGTGAGCGACCAGTCGATGCTCTCGTACAGCCGAAGCAGGGGCGCCTCGCTGTCGAGGTGCGCGTCTCCAGGTCTCCCATGTCTGCAGCGACTCTTCCGCCACCTGCACCAGGCGCACCGGAGGCACGTGAAGTCAGAACGGCTGCTTTTGTCGCAAGCAAGAATGCAGACGTAACTATCGGTCGCACCACTGCTGGGCTTCGCGTTTCGGCGCGCATTTCAACGACGCCCATTGTCAGGGCTCCCAAACGGTGGTTCCTTGTGCAGCGTGTCTTGATGACCAGAAGCAAAGGCCTTGTGCTAAACACGGAGGGAGCACAGTGCTGGCCCGTGTTCGTTCCCTTCCAGCCATATGACGACGCATTTGCCCCTGCCCTGTCAGTATGCACATTCCCAGAAACAGGGAATAGGCAGCCAGAAGCGTTGCAGCTTTTATTAAAAGAATCATCAGCATTGTCAACAGCTTCACATGAATCAGACTCTGGCAGTTCCCTTTGTGCCCCATTTTGGCCAACTAAACTGTTCACCAATGCACGCATCTCACTCGCATTTCCTCAATTCAACAGGGCATTGTGCTTGTGTTGTGACAAGACCCCTGGCCATCAAGAGGCAGGGTGGTGAGAATGCCATTCACAGGCAACCGCTGCAAACCACTGCTGTGAGTGCAACGCAGGCACCGTTGCACACCAAGAGTCCAGCCGCGCTGAATACGGGTGGTCAGCATCGCTGGTGCTGCACATCAACAAAACCAGCCTGTTCGTTCATGGACAACCTCTTGCTATCCCTCGTTTGGGCCAGCGCTGTCAGAGTCGTAATTCGTCTGACTACATTTGATTCTATTCGGCAGGTTGCCAATTTACTTTTGTTCTTGAATCTTTGTTGTTACTTTCGGCTGGGCGCCCTTTTTGAAAACAGCAGTGTGGCCATACTCGCGTGCACTGTCTGGAGCTGCAGGGCAATTCAGTTCAAGAGTGGAGGGAATCGGCCACAGCTGTGGGGAAAGACGGCACTTGGTGAACAGCAATGGCACAAAATTTCCCAATTCATATAGTTTCAGTCCGCGGCTACAAAGACCAACTACGAAAAGTAAGTGTAGACAAAACGAAACAGAAATGGACAAAATCGAAGAAAACAGACAAAGGCATGTCTCGAAATCGGGCCACTTGTTGAGCGGGACGAAATCATATAATCTTAGCCCCATTTCATAAGCTATTGTGTATTCAGCAATATGAAATTGACTCAGTGATGGCACGACATTAAACAATTCTATATCCATTATGATTTAATGGCTTCTTCACATTACGGCCATTCTTCGCCACAATGCAACAAAGCAGTACTGTGGTGTACTATTAGGGTGTCAAGTCAATTGCAAATTGCCAGCAGCGCTGGAAATGCGATTCATGGAGCATCTATCAAGCACACAGGCCCAAAGCAATGTGTCAAGCCTCAACCACGCATTGCTCCCAAATCGACAGCAACAAAGCGCAGCAACAGGCAGTCCAACTTGCACATATAATCACTATGCACACAGTGACGCCATGTGGCATGACACTGCTGTTTTGCCACATCGACTGCAAGGACAGATTCGCTTGTGCACCATATGATCAAGTTGGATGATCGCAGGCTGAGGACGAGAATATTCATCAGACAAGCACTTGGTGAGGAGCACGAGACATGGTGTTTTCCAAGAGCAGCGAGTCCAAGGCTGGTGCAGAACATACTCCACGCCGTGCGCGAGTACCCTTGCACAAAACCGTAGAGGGGTGCATACGCTCACCGTTTCCATTTGAAAAACTCGAGGGGGCTCTTAAAGAATGACCCAGAGGTGTGCACCACCCTGCTGGTGAGATTGGCGAACCTCTCTTTTGTCCTGGAGACATCAGCGTCCACGACGTCTGCATTCAAAGCAAGAAACAGGCCACTTACACATCTGCACAAGAAACGTTTTGGCTCTTGGCTTGCAGCATGCAATCTGTGTCTCTTAATAGACCATGGAAAACATGTGAAGCAGGGTACGCATTAGCACCACAAGTACGTCAAGCTAATTAGAATGGGTATGGACGACAACCCCAGCGCACTTGGACCAGGTAACAATGCAAAACGCATTACGTATATTTGACCCCCATCACACCTTGCTACCAGACTATTTCGGGGCACATTCACCTAAAGCTCATCGCGCTCCACAGTGCAACTCGCTGCCAGACACTGCGCCCGCTGCACTGAACTGTTACAGATACAACTAGAGTACAAACATTGGGCCGCCTTCACCCAAGCACCAAAACCCATAGCACTAGCAGTGACAGTGTCGTGCAAGCTTGTTGCCACAACCTCCTTTACGTTGCAGTGGATGGTCCTTCCAATGGAGGCCGTCACTGCCATGGGGCTGTTGGAAACCCCAGCGCATTTCTCCAGCTGACAGGTGCTATACAGAGGGCCATCTGCTCATGAAAGCTACTGGCATAAGGGCCATTGTGCACATACACTGTGCGCTGAATGGTCGCAAGTCACTGTTTTCAAACCATTGCGCAGCTCCTGACCAATAGGCTGTTGGGAACAAACAGCAGGCTGTTGGCAACACGAGCAAAACCTGTCCATGAAGCCCAGCAAACTGGCAATGGGGCAATTGGCAGCACAGGCCAGGGGGGGGGGGCACAACTTTCAATGCACAGTGTGCCTGAGCTGGAACCCAGGGTGATGTTCAAAACCCGAAAATTTAGCCCCTTGCTGCTCAAGGACTCCACAGCACTTGAATAGGAGGCAGTTATATCCATAACTCCCCTAGGAAGGCTCCCGGGTGTTCAATCCTGGAGTACATGCGTACAATAGGAACACACTGAAATGCACTGAAGTGCACTGCTGCTCGTTTGAGATTCCGTCTGGAGCAGCACCGAGTGCAGGCACACTGGTCACAAGTTCCAATTTTGACTAAACAGTGTGACATGCAGCACAATGCTGCTTATAAACCAGCATTGGACATGTAATGGTACGGAGCACAACCAGCATACTCTGTACGAAACATTCTGCATTAGCATGCAAGGATATGACAGTCTTATGCAAGAACGTCACACACCTGTCACGTCCCTCATTACATCTCGCATGTCAAACATACTACGAAGATTGTTGAAGAACCCAGCCGATGGTGCATCTGGATCCATGTAATCCTTGTCAAACAGACACCCAAGACTCAAGGGCTATACGCAATAACAACATTGATGTGAGCAGGCTTATGGACTCCAATGCACAGTTACCACCTCCGAATGGCAACACTGGGTCGTTTCACCTCAGGCACACTATAGCTGTGCTGCTTTGGCAAACACTCCTCTTCCTTTCAATTCAATCTCCTTACATTTGAAACTTCTTGAGCACATTGAACAGCACAAGTTTGCGCACACATGCTTCCTGCTGTCTTCTGTGCTAAGTCTAGTGCTGGAGTACATGTTATACTCGGCACAGTTTGGTGTTTACTCATACTTGGTACTTCAGTGTCGGTAATTTAGTATCTGTCTAGTGCACTCTATTCACGTGCTATCACCTACACGTGCACATAGACACAAGCTAATCCATTCTTGGCAATGCCTAAAACCCCCAGTTAGCCTTCAGCGCTGATGCTGCTGCAAACCAGATTTTGCAATTCCCACACTGTTGATTGTAGTGTACCATTGGGCCATGTCTCAAATAGAGGCACCCAGAAGGACATGCTGAGGAGCCACCAGTGATAGGCAACATGTTTGGGTCATCCAAGCAAACACAAAATACACGCGTGGGAAATCTGTGCTTTGTCTTTTCTGTAATTCAAAGAAAGCAAGAGAAAGGAAGAAAACGGAATGAAAAATGCAGAATGAATAGTTGGAAAAATTGTGAAACTAAAATTCACTCCAAGTATCACATCACATTTGGGAGTCCTGGTGTCTCTGCCGAGCTGCAGGGCCCCTCTCGTACCTTTGGAGGAAAGACATACGCGAACATCAATGCGGCTATGAACATCTCGATGCAGATGATGAGCTCCTGCACGCCTGCTGCCACGTCTTTGGCATCGTATGCTGCAACGTTGGTGCTGATCCAGCCTGCCTTAACTGCAAAGGACAGCATGAGCGACTGCCAGTATGTTAGGAACACGATGGACTTGATAAGCATGAACTTGGCAACGGGCCGGATGGGCTTCAGCTCGTGCTTGGTGGCACGGTAGAACATGATGAGGCAATAGATCGCCCAGCACTGCACCAGGCACACACAGATTCGTGACACTACAGCAGCTTGCAGTACAGTACAGTGCAATACAGCTGTATATCATGCACTTGGCTTGTGCCACTGACGTGATGGCTCTTAATGATGCTGACCCAAAACATAAGTACACAACAGCAGCTCCCTTCTGAATTGGCAGCAAAGCTTTGGGGAACTTTGTTCGAAAGACTGCATCGATTCATGAACCAGCTGCCATCTACAGGGTCATTAGGAGCAACACAGCGGACGACTGCGTATTGACGATTATCAACTGGGAACCAGAGAATGCTCCCATTTGGTGCTGCAGTATTGTTGCTGGAATTTCACTCTTCTTGAAACAATCACCAGCTCTGTCACAGTTGCAAGTAAACATCATTAAACAGAATTACCAAGTGCTTCCCATGTCAGCAAAGGGGTTACAATGATAATATCAACTTCTGACAGCATTTGAAATGGAAAAGGGGCAGGGATGACTAAGCTGCAGTTGGTTGTGAAATGCCTGAACTCACAAATGTGCACAATGCTGACAATGTTGTGGCAGCCTTGGAGGTGCCAAAGTGCACAGACACAAACTAACAACACAGCTATGGAAAGTGCACTGCATCCCAGTAAGCTGCCATTCTCTGGTGCACTGGTATTCGTCTTCCCTTCTGATATCCTGTGAAGTACAGGCCCAGTGTTGCAATTGCTGGATCTTCAACAAGAGGGGACCAACATGTGGTGAGCAGCAAGCAGCTGGCAACATCAGCGATGTCATGACACTTAATGCATCGAGAACAATCCATTGGTACGGGATGACTGCAGGGGCTTATACTGCCACAGCAATCTGCTCTGAAGTACCAACATACTTTAGTGTCTGCTCTCCATGAACGCCCTTTTGCAGACTTCATGTGAGGGTAGTTTTGTCTTTCAGGCCAAGAGTGGGCCATTGTGCCTGGATAGCGATTTACACCAATAAAAGATGCCCATCGATTCTGTGAACTGCTTTGGTGCATGCCATGTCCAAGACATCACAGCAAAACAGCAAGCATTGCACTGCAACTGTTGGACTTTTGGTACTTTGCACTTGGGATGTACGGTGCTTTCAATAGTAGAGGTTCCGCTGCAGCAAAAGCAATGTCGATAACAGCAAAAGGGCAGCAGCAAACGTCATCAAACAACAGGTCAGTTCCCCACCTGTGAAAAGCTGTTGATCAGCCCTGTCCAGAACCATACTCCGTCCGGCCGAATCTGTGAGTCACGGTAGATACGCAAAGTTTTTGCACCTATGGCTGCTAAGACTGTCAGTGGCCTCAGTATGACGTAACCCAACACACCCTGCAATATAGAAGGGTGCTTAAGAGCTCTAATCGTCTCGTGCATATTCATTTTCAGCCTTTTCAAGCCTTGTGTTCAGCAAATGTATTGTACACATACAACTTCCCTGGTGCACATTCAAAACAGCAGCTGAATTCGGGGTAATGCTCAAGGTGCGCATTCAAAACAGCAGCTGAATTCGGGGTAATGCTCAAGGATGCCACCTCTTTCTGGCCCCCATTCCACAGCTCTCCCAGTATTAGACCGGTACATCGATCAGCCTGCATCCCATTATGCCATAGGTGATAGGTAACAATTTGCATGTTGCACAAAACACAAGCAAACCAATTTTTACTCGCTGCAACAATCAATCAACCAAACATCCACCAAGCATCTGCCAACCGAAACTTGAGTACCAACCTGCATGACCGTACCCAGCATGAAATCCAACAAGCTAAACCACCACCGCTGCTGTCAGCTTCTGACAATATGTCTTGCAGTGGACAACAGTGCAACTGGCACAGGATCTCACTTCCATCTTTCCACCGACACCATCTGATGCAGAGGCAAGCCATATTCCAAGGGCCACGCGTACTTGCTTTAAGCACGGCCGTTGAAGAATTATAATCAAATAACTGTCCTACCATGCAGGCTGCTTCAACAATACACCATGCAGGACGCCTGTGTGGTGCATCGCATTCAGGCAGGCGTGATCTCTGCCATTGAATGCACACCACTACCAGTCTAATGAAACTTACCTTCTTGGCAACAGAAACTGAGTCCCAATGCTCAGTCATTGACTTTGAAAGCCTATAATGGCCTGCATGGCCAGGAAGTCCTCCAGACTGCCTAATTCGGTGTCCAGGAAGACGCACAGATAGGAGTAGAAGCTATAAATTACATAAGCCTCGTAGCACTCCCGGAAGGGGTCTATGTAGAGCCTGGCCTTGAGAAACCGCAGGGCCAGCCAGCTATTGAGGGAGTAGAAGGGGACCATCCAGTGGATCCGGATGACGTGCTTTTGGAGGTCGGGGCGAGTGTAATACTCGAGGTGCATCGCCACCTGGCAGCAAGAGTGGCACCGGCACATTTTCAAGATCAATGCCAAAACGTGACAGAGAGTGGTGTGGACTGTGTGTGCATGTTGTGGCCTCATGGATCGAGGGAAGCAGGTGTGGGTTGAATGCTGATTAGTGTGTTCGAAGCGGACTGAAGCAGCCTGCACCACCTGGCAGCAGGATGGACAACAATGTACTGCAGAATCAGAAAGTGACGCAGATGGTGTTGCCTTGCGTCATCTTGCTGATGCTCAGGCAATACCGTACAGCAGCCAAGCCAGACTGAAGCTTCCTGAATGTGTCAAAATGCCACCCTCTGGCCCACAGCAGGGTGGCACAAAACTTATTCCACCATATGAAGATTCCCACCAAACATGGCCACGAGCTGGAACCAATGAACGCCAGCTGCTGTGCCCACAGTGTCTGAATTTCTTCAAACCACCACACAGCACTTATGGCAGTGTGAGTTTGTCTCGGCGCACTCTGCCATTTGTATAGGCAAATCAAGCACTGCCACCAATTACGGCTCATAATCCATTGCCATGTCAAAACTCTGGCAAAGGAAAGAATGCCCCAAGAAACCCATAAAAAGCCACAAATGCCGAAACAGAAACACTACCCCATCCCTGCATTCTGGCATCTGCGTACAGCAATTCGTTTGCCATCCTAATGTGCACTGTTCTTGTCTTCAGCCAACAGGCACAAACCCCAGTCTGAGATCCATACCCGTGACAGGAACTGGAGGCCTTGAGAGAGACCCTGAGGGCAGCAAATGCATGTTGTGCTACTTGCTCCCCACACGTGCACCAGATCTTGCGAGATCTGGTGAAGAGATCTGGCGCAGAGATCGGTGCCATGCCACCACAGCCGCCTGTACGTGACATGTAGCTTGAGGCAGCGATGACAGCCAGCACCTCCAGTGATCCAATTACAGAAGCCTCAGCTTTGCCAATTATTGCCTTGCAGGTGCAAAAGCAGCCCCTCGATCAATTCTTGCAAATGTTGTCAAATGTGAGAAAAGAAGTCCTCCATCTCTCCTTCCCAGACATCAACCGCCATTGCTTAATGTCTCCACTTCTTGCTACAAAGCTCAGCCTGATCCGGAACTCCTCGCAACACAGCTTAACGTGCTTTCCGGAAACAACAAGCATCGAATGCAAGGTTTGCAACAAGGCAATCCTGGAGTCAAACCTTGCACATGACAGTTGATCGGAGTCCCACTCTCAACACCGTGCCCCCACAACCTTATCCCTATGCCATGGCACCCATCCCAAATATTGCAAGACAAGGAAGGGCACAGCGAATGCATGGAGGCAGCCCAACCGTAGTTGCTGATGCCCCTCCTCAACGTTCTCATGCCAGTCTACCACCACCATCAGGTGTCCCTCACCCCGACCAGCGGCCCCCATCCCCCAAAATAAAAACACGAACACATACAAATAAAAAAAAATGTTCTGATGAATTGCACAAAGACAAACAAATGCTTTGTTGCGCGTACGCCTGTCAAAGCCTGCTGGGAGCAAGTGCTTCGCTTTGTCTTGTCAAGGCAAACGCTCCGCAAGCAAGTCCTTCAACCCCAAGGGCAAGGCCATGTCTCGAAAGACCAAGGCGTCCCCCTTGTGGCAGCGCTCACCTCGTAAAAAGTGACGGGGAGCGTGAGCAGCACGAAGACGCCCGCGGAGAACCAGGCTGCACCAAACACGGGCACAGCGGCACAGCTTCAGGAGCAAATCGGGTGCCCCCCCACGCCGCCGCACGGCAGACGCTCCCCGGACGCAACCGCCAAAAGGGGGAATGCCGTAAGTTTGCAGGCGGACGAAAAGCAGTCTGGAGACAGTCCGGAGAACATCTGGGCCGCGTCGCAATTCCATCACGAACGCGCGCATAGCGCCCATCGTCCGCCGCACCGTTTCTGCCGGGGATGCACCCCCCAGTTCCAAAACCCGCCTTCCCAAGTTACTGACCCCCCGAATCCAGCGCGCGTCGTTCTTCCAGCGGTGGATCAAGCGCGGGCATTGCGCCGCTTTGGCGGCGCGGACCCTCGCCGTGCTGGCCGTCCGTTGGACAGTCGCCGAGCGCCTTTCGATCGGGCTGGCTGTCCTTACCAGCGCGCCTCCCACTTCCCGCCTCACCTCGCATCTTGTCCGAGTAGTTTGTCTGGCGAAAGCTCCACACCAGCACGGGGAACCCCACAATCACCACCGCCAGCAGCGCGTACCATATCTGCATCAACCGCACGACCACAACTTCGATCCACTCTCCGCCGAACCGCTCACGGGCGTCCCCACACGCGGGGGTGTCGCGGGGTGGGGGGGGGGAGAGGAGGCAGCTCACCGCTCTCATCACCCTCCGGAATGGCCACAGTTTCCACCCCATGGCGCCGCGCCCGCCCGCGGAGGCGCGGCTCTCATCAGCGGGCTTCACGCCGGCTGCCGCGCCGCTGACGCGCCCCACTTCCCGTCGGATGCGCCCCGCAAGGAACGAATCACGAGCGGATCGGCGGCGAGGCTGTGGATGAGCACAAACTGAGTCGCTCGGCCGGTGGCAGTCGACTTGCGCTGGCGGGCCTGGGGTTCGGCTCGGCTCGCGGGGGCGCACCGCGGCTTTGACGGGGTGGGGCGTCGGGGGTTGGCAGGGGCTGCGGCTGGAAGGTGCGTTGAGGGCGCCGGGCGGGGGGCATTTGCGGCCCTTTCGGGGTCATTTTGGGCGGATTTTGCCTTTTCGGGATGACAGGGGGCCGGACGCGTGGGGGGCTCGCGGCCTTTGCTGACGCGGGGAGTGCGACCGAGCACTCCTCTGTCTTTTCCGTGAAGATCCCTTCTTGTTTCGGACACCCTAATCCCTAAACCACTGACCGTTTACCAGCGTTGTCCTTGTCAGCACAACAAAAAGGGATTCTCACGGAAAAGCAGAGGGACTAGTATATTCTCTGTGGACCGAAGGCCGTACAGTGTTTACAGGACGTAGCCTGAACGGAAGAGTGGCCAACATTGGTTTCTATGGAGCACCGTTTCCACCAGCTACTCATCCAGGCCGAGATCCTTCGGGCTCGTCCTTTCGAGTTCTGTTTGGACTCACGATTGCATCATGAAGAATGCCGTTTCGTTTTCTGGAATCATTGCATTCGCTCACCACACCATCACCTCAATTCTTGTGCCCTCCGCCCCACCTGCTACACCTTTTCCCTCCCACCCTCCAGTCCCTCCCGTCGCCTTATCTGGGTTTCTCTTGGTTTTGCAGGGTGGCTTAAACGGTTCCCTGAGGTGGCTTTTCCCTCAGACTACCTGCCTTGGACACCGCCAAGAAAGCAGTATGCATGCTAATCATCTTCTCTTCAATCCCATATTCTCTGGGGCGTCTTCCTTGATAGGTTTCACCGTCGCCCCACGACTTTTCGGGGGGACAACTCTGCGACTTCTTCTTTGCAGCTGCCACGGCTCTACGCTCGCCTTTGGTGTGGGGCTTGTTTTGTGCTGTGGAGTGTAGATGTCGTTTTGGTATCCCTGGTGAACCACTTATGTACAATTTGTGTTTCAAATTCCTTCAGACACAACCCCTTTGTATCTTTGATTGCCACTTCTTAATCTTCTTTCGCAGGGTCCTTGAGGCTACCACTGTTCATTGTATTTTGGCAGCTTGCTTCCCACACAATGAAAATGCCGAACTTTGCTCGCTTCTTCTCTGCTTATCAGCTTGCTCACTTCATTCAGTTTCTCCTTTCTTTCTTCGTATTTTCTCTTGGCCTTCCTCTGGGACAATCCTGTGGTTTATTTCTTTCATGCTTTTGTAAGGGAGCCCAAAGCCAGCTGGTGTCCTCCTGACCTTCCTTTCTTTGCACTGCAGCATTGATTGGCTGGTTGTTGTATGATATGATCTTCAGCTGACATCACGCTCTTGCTGCCGTAAATGATAGATCTTTTGTAGCCAGTACACCCCAGACCCAAAATAAACACAAGAGCTTAAAAGTCCAGCAACGAGCGCACAGCTTTCATACAACAACACCCAAAGGGCAACGGCTCTGTTCCTTATTGTTAAAATTTCAACGTTTATGCACACACTGGCTTCTACCAGGTTTCTTCTGCCCGATTAGAATGGCTGTAAATATGTTTGCTTCCAATAACGCCAGCTCGCCAACTTGGCACAACAAGAATTGTGCAATGAATGTGTGTATCATATGGAAACACTGACTGTCCTACAATCAAAGCTTGCTCAACTCAGCCTGCTTCCGATTGCTAATGGTTGGGTATCCAATGGGTTCTCTAGATTCGCCCTCCAAGAAGAACCCATACCGCATTCCCATTCAGACCACATGCATCTTCCCTCTGGACCCTCCATGGCTTGTCCAATATGCTAGTAGGCGTTGCCTGCACATCAACCGCTCCTCATGAACCAGTGGTCACACAATCTCAACCTAGCTCTCAACGCCCCATCCAAGGCCACAGTTCCTAACGGTCATCGATCGGAACATGACAGTCATCGAAGCGAATATGTCCGCCTCTTGCCACTCTCTGTATGGCAATGCACTGTGAGCACAGAGGGCAATGTGGTTGGAGCTGTGACCTTCTCGCACTGGCATGGGTCAGGGGAGGCAGGTAAGTTGGGGGAGTCAGCAGAGTTGGGGACTGCCATGGGATGTGGGGACCTCCTTGCCTTGGTCAGGCACCATCAGAATCGTCATCAAGCATCTCGGCCAGCCGCAGGGCCACTTTTGCTGCTGCATCTCTGCGCTCAGCATCTGGAAGCTGGGCAATGCGCTCCCGCATGCCTGTGGTGCCGGCACAAAAATTTTGGTCAGCGCATTGTTCATGCAATGCTGGGTTTCCCTTTCCAGTGCTATTCGTGTACCTGACACCACAGGTCTTGAGAGCCATCTGGAACACTGTCAGAATAGCATTTGTCAAGCCTGATGAATCTGGCTGCCTACAGATCCTTCCACGTCACTTTCTGGGGAGCATCAAGGAGCTCTGTCTGCTGAGGCTCTGCTTGGGTTGTGTTCGGGAGGGTGAACGGCAAGTGCATGGGTGGCTTCGGCACTCTGGGTCACCCTTCCCCCTTGCTCACTAAAACGCCCATGACACCAAGTGTTGCATTGAATGGAGCACGACCAGGGCGCATGGAAATCAGGACAGAGCTCAAGGGGTGTGGATTTCACCACACTACTTTCTGTTCTCTCTCCGGGACGACGATGACTGCCAAACTTGAGATAGCTGACAAGTTACAAACACATCAGAGATTTGCCAACACCAACATACTGCAACTAGCTGCAATTGCTATCGCTTGACACTGCCATCCAGGGCGAAGATCACACAATCTGATCAACGACGACGACGACAATGCTCGTGCACCTTGGCCCTCAAAAACGCAACGCAACGTTTGGTAACAAGGAAAGGGCACCACACAAGTGCCTACCTGACAGCCCCTCCTCCAGCAGCCTCTCGAACGCATCCAGCGCCTCCTCCCCCTCCACGTGCCCTCTCCCCAGCGGCTCACCCCGCGCCCTCTCCCCTTCCCCTTCCCCCTCTTCCGCATCCTCCCTCAGCATCCTCTCAAACTCCTCCAGCGCGTCCCCCTCCCCCTCGCCCCCAATCCCCGATCCCCCCTCTCCCCCGATCGGCGCCAAACCCTGCCGCGGCGCCATCTCCATCCCTGGCCACATGTGCGCCTGCAGTGCAGACCGAACGCGATCCATCCCCTGCCCCTCCCCCCACCGCTCCAGCCCCGCGTCAATCTCCCCGTCCCCCGCTGACACCTCCACGTACTCGACCATCTCCCGGCCGGCCCACTCCGCGGCGGCATCCAGCCAGTCTGGCCTCTCCTCTCTCACCGCGTCCATCTTGTTGGCCACCAGCAGAACAACAGCCGCGCGATCTCCAGCAGGAGATCCCACCCAGGGGCGCAAAGACAAAAATGTCGACTCCCTCGTCGCGTCGATCACCATCAGGATCGCCTCGGGGACCGCGGCGGTCGATGAGTCGGCGGCGTCGATCCGGGCAGCGCGCAGGGCGGCCCGCGCGGTGTAGTACTTCGTGCGGATGTGCCAGACGGGAGGGGAGGCGTGGGTGCCGTCTGGCGAGGAGATGAGGGACCTGACGAGCGTGGACTTGCCCACCTGCTCCGCGCCCACAACCAGTATCTCGGGGAGGTCGGGCTCCGGCGGAGGCAACTGGGCGTTCACCATCCTGGGGCGTCGCTTGCCGTTGTCCCGGGTGCGCAGGGGGCCTTGGGCAGAGCGCGGGAATGCGGTGTGTTAAGGAGGGAACCCCGGAAATCGCGCGGGAACTCGCAGAGTCTCATTTATCACGGGCATTTTTGTTCCAGGGTTCTCGGTCTCGGTCTGTTCCAGGGTTGTTCGCTTGGCGGCCGCACAGTGACCACCGTTTCACTGGGCTGATCACTTCTGCTTGGTGGCCAGCGATTGGTACGCATTACAAAACGTGATTTGCTGCTTGAGACGGCCTCAAAAAAACAATGTTGCGGATAAGTATTGCTATGAAACGTACACAGGTTACTCACGCCGGGGTGTCACTATTCCTTGTGTGGCATTGAACTGGCAGCTTCCCAGCCTTTGCGCACTCCTTTGCTTGAAGATTGGTAGTTGTTGAACTCCACCAGCCGTACTGGCCAGTAGAATCTTCGGATGTGTGCCGCAGTGGAAGATGAAACGATGTAAGGGTAGTACACCGCCGCTGTGGATGGTCGCATATCCATAGTTGCAACATCCAACCCCCGTCGATGGCGCAACCAGCATCCCACATATCAGTGGTCTCCATGGGAACCACGCATAACCCTCTCCCACATTCATGGGCAGCTGGTCCACGTCGACAGCCTCAGCTCCACTTCGTTTGGGGGTGCGTTGAACGATCAAGAGGTTCCCCCCTTGCGCGGATTGGCTCCTCACGAAACGCCGCTTGTCATCATCATCATCATCATCATCATCATGATTTTTTACAGAACAAGGCAATGAGGTAGCCGTCAGCTTCCTATTTTGCCTGAGCAAAGCAGAGTCGGTGTTTGGTTCATTGGATTCTATTGAGAAATACAAACTAAATCTATCATCTATGAACTTTCGATGCCTAGAAGTGATAATCGATGGTAATACATCAAACGAAGTGTGTTTGCAAGTTAGCAAAAAGTACTTTTGCATTGCGACATCGAAAAATGCGAGAGTGGCTTTGACGGATGTTGTCATAGGCTTCGCAGTGGAAGAGAAAATGGATCTCGTCTTCAAGTGCTAAGTGGCATAAAAGACATAATCGCCTTGAAAATTCTGGAATGGATTGTCTCGCTTGGTGTCGTTGATTCTCGACTTCTAGAAAATGAACCCCACAGCGAAAGCGTAGGAAGAAAGTCCTCAAGGAGATAGGTTGTAAGGTTGACAGGAATCGTTCATATCGGTAGACTGGCTTGATGTGCTTGTACCAATGCTGAATTCTTGTCACACAAGAATCGTCGGCTTGTCCGCTTCTTGTCCGCTTGTAACACTGACGATCGTCACAAGAAATGGAAACGGTAGCAGATGGGTGTCTCAAACGGGCAGTAGATGACCAACCGCCAGCCACCGCACGCAAATGTCCTTGTAGAAAGGCTTGAAACTGCCGTCCAAAGCTCCGAAATTAATCGCAGCAGCTCCTGGAAGGTCAATGAGATCAAAAACGTCAGTTTGGTCCATGGGCCAGGTAAGCCCAGTCCACAACGCGGCAGCTCATGACGCAGCAGGGCTTCCTTCCGCCTTGCCACGGCTGTGTGGCGACGGCGATTGGCCAATTTTGGCCCGCAGTAAGACCCCACTCGAAGTGTTGGTCGTGAAAGGTAAGAAAACGGCTCAAGAACGGCCCAGAATGGCCGCGACCTTTGGAAAAGTCGAGCGCTATTGCGCTTAGGCCACGGTGCAAGGGGCGCACACAGCCAGGGACTCAGGCAGCCAGGCCGCATGCCTAGACCGCTGCGCGAGGCACAGAGAAACCACACGCAGTCGTTGCAACAAGCTGCCATGCTGAAGTCAACAATGCGTCGTCCCCTCTGGCGCTCTTCATGCCCTCCCTACTTCTACCCGCCCAGGGCGTCTGACCTTTCTCACAATACGCCCTTCGTGGTAACTTATCTTTTGGGGAAAATGACAAAAGGGGGTCCTCTGTGAGATATCTCTGCGGGGAGAGCAAGCGGCGACCGGAGCTGCGGTGAGAGCAAGGGGTGATCGGAGCTACCTGGGAGATCAAGTGGCGATCGGAGCTCCACGAGGAAGTCGCAGAGATCGGAGCTGCAGCAGGGAGCACGAGGCAATGGCGAGCACAGCCATGGCAAAGCGAAGGCCCAGGTAAACGGTAAAGGCCAAGAATGGTTTGGTGATTGGTCGGATGGTTGAAGATCTTCTTGCCATGGCAGAACCTCTCTCGGCGATCGTGACTGTGCTCGTGGCAAGCAGGCTTGGTTTTTACGTTTACGTTTACGTTTTTACCCGTAAAAACGTAAATTTGCAATAGGTCCTGTTTTTACGGCTATTTTTACGTTTTTACGGCCCCCTGGGACACCCAGATTATACTATGAAAGTTGCGTACAATGATCAGTCATTCGCCAACTCCAGCACCCACAACACAATGTCCACCTCGGCCATTGGCAAGGGCGATGATGGCGCTTAACAAAAACTCGTTTTATGCCCTTTCCAGGGCGCCTAGCTGCCACTCTCCGGACCCCGTAAGTCTTTATGTACTGTCCTTATGTACACCAGACAGTTTTTACGTTGTATTTACGTATTTTTACGTATTTTTACGTGTAAAGACGTAAAAACTATTTTTACGTGTAAAAACGTAAATACGATCAGTTTTTACGGCGTAAAAACCAAGCCTGCTGGCAAGAAAAGCATGGATGTGCAGGCAAATAGTGTGATTGTGAGTGCGAACCGACTTGCGTAGTACAGCTATAGGGAACTGGGGTTGGCTTTTGACAATCTGTCGGAACGTTGGTTGGATCTGTTTCCTCGCTCGCTAACATTGCCTTCATTTTATGTGTTCCTGTTTTGGTGGCAGTCTACAGGCCACTTCCAGTGGCCCCAAAATTGCGCCAAACCATTTGGTTGTGAATGTGAACCGAGTTGTGTGGGGCAGTGATGTGAGATTCAGGGACGGTTGCTGACGATCTCTGAAAATGCTTGTGGCATATGCTCAAGGCCCTGTGGTGAATGTTGTATGTTTTTGCTAGGGCTTTAAACAACTGATTGAATTCAGCCACCACTCCTGAGGGCCGGTGACAGCTATGAGGAGGCAGATGCGGGACACTTGTAGCACATTGATTTTGTAAGAGCGCATCTATAAAGTGAAGTCATTGGCAACGTCCAATTGGAAAAATGACCCTTGAGCTTAGAAACCATGCCACACTGACACAATAATGTCACTGCTCATAATGATTCATGTATTTTTATGGAAACCAATTGCATTTAATTGAGACACCACAAAATCCCCACAAACCCCTACAATACCCCCAAGAGGAGAATTGACAGAAGGGATTCGTTGGCGAGTGTGGGGTGTGTGGGTGTGGGTGGGTGGGTGGGTGGGGTGGGGGCATTTGACAAAAGGGTGTCCTCTGTGGGTTCGCCACTAGTAGGACCGGCTTGCCGACCGGCGCCGATCTGGCGTCGGCCTGGCAACGCGCCTAATGTACAGGGGGCGGTCAGAAGCCCCCCTTTGTCACAAAGAATCCCCTTTTGTCAAGATATATCGCAGAGGAACCCCTTTTGTCATTTTCCCTGTCTTTTCATTCCCCGGAATCTTCCCGTCACACCACCGCATCACTGCAATTCACCCCGGTACACCCCACTTCACTCGGCCGCCAGCCACAGAATGCCCCGCGGGTCATATTCTTATCACACAGCCACATGGCGCCTCCACACGCCCCCCTTGGCTCCGTCCCATCGTGCTCCGCGGGCAGACCGCGACGGGGGCAGCTCCCCTCCATTATAAATTGGACTACCGTTCATAAGGTACACTGGTCGGCCAAATCGTGGCCAAAACAACGTCTATTGACGCACTTTCTTAACAAACGGCTCTTGAAATCTTCTAAATGAAATGGCAATGACACCTTCATGTCGCAGAATTGACTTGCAGCTGATTGATGCTTTCAAACCCAAATTCAGATTAACCTTCAGTGAAGGTCCTTCACAGCATTCATTTACTGAATGGATGCACCTCTGCTTGAGGATTTTGGGTTAGCCCGGCCTTACTATGCTACTACTACCTTACTATGTTCAGTGATGGTGATATTTGTGGAGATCATATTTGTGAAGGTGCTCCACACTTCTGGACCTCACGGGTCGCCCACTGAGTAGTACCATTAGGATACCATCTTTTTCTGATGAGCTCCGTTATTGGCGATCCGAACAGAGGTGTGACAAAAAGGAAAAGACATGCCATGGAAACCTCTTTAAGTCATTTTTCTGATTGAAATCTGGAATTGTTTGATCTAATTTGCTTCTTGAGGTAGTTGTCGATCACACTTATGCTTGTTGGAGACAACATGAGCTTTATGGAAGAACGCAATGCAGTTCACGGGCGTTTGTGGTTGATGACGGTTCTTGGGTGTCGAATAGATGGAAGGGCGGTTGTTAGGTAAAAAATCTGTACGATCAAAGTGTCATGGTTGTCACCGCCGTCGGCAAGGAAATTTGTGGGTGGACTTGGGACCGGACAAGCAAAACATGTAAGCCCGAGTTCTGGGTGGGAGCTGCCTTGCAAGACCGTGTGTGATCGCCGTTTGGGTCGGCTCAGGGTGTGTGTGGTGTCTGAATCGCATCAACCACCTTCCCTTCAAGTGGGTGTTGTGGATACCGACAATGAGCACGGAGATATGACAAAGACGAGACGGAGGCGGAGGCCCGGTACATATACACCACAAACCCAAACGCCCCACCGCCCAACCCTAACCCATCTCTGTCACCGTCCCTGTACCGGGAAACCTGAAGCCAAGAAAGCCCTCTGGCAGTGTCTCCGTCACGTCTCCATGCTCACGGTCTGCATCCACAACAGTCTAGCCTTCTGCAGGGTTCCATCAATTTGCGCCCGTTGTGCAATGTACCGGGGCTGCAGGCTTCCACCTGGGACGCGCAGGGGCGTCCACGGACCTCAGGCGCAGGAAGCTGCCCGGCAATGTTTTGGAAAGGCTACCAACCGCCGATTACGCGCTGCCACAGCCTTTGGATCGTCTTAGAGCATCTTTATCGGTGTGTGTTATTGTCCCGGCGGAGCTATTCGGCTATCCGAATAGCATCGCACATCAAAAAAACATCATTAACGGTTGGGAAGCAATAGCACCCCAATAGCACCCCCGGAACTATTCGGCGCTGAGCGGCGCTATTTTGGCCGCGAATAACACCGCTCGGGGCCGAATAGCACCCCAGAATAGCACCGGTGCTATTCGTGCAGAACATTGTAGTGCTGCAGTGATGCTATTCGGCATAGGCAAGCACCCACCATCGCGGATGCGCGCAGGGGAGCAATAACACCGGTGCTATTCGGCAAATGCCAACTTATAAGGTTGCACGGCAGCCAGTGAGAACCGTTCCTGGATAACTCTGCCGGTGCAATAGCGCCGACCGATAAAGATGCTCTTTGGATGACGCGTTTTGGTTCATTCATTGTTGGCGTCCATTCGCTTGGGCACATGCTGGCATCCCAACGACCGCGCACCATGAATGCCAATGAACGGCTGCGAAATCCCACGCCCTCAATGGCTTGCGAGCTCCCGCGCCGTTACAGCGCCGCCAGAAGGAAATCGCCAACGTGCAGAGGTCAGTTGCGGCGTCACATTGCTTGAACCGTGGAAAAGTGATCGAGCATGTAGTGGAGCACGGACAACAGCCGTGCGAAATGGACGGTATTCGCCTGCCACTCCGAGAGAATACCATGCTCTTGCGAGCACCGCACATCTAAATTTCAGAAACAGACGAGCCGGCTTCATCCACAAACCATCGCCGCTGCCAATGCCGCGGCAACCAAGGGGTATGTCACAACTCAACTCGGGAATTTCGATTACACGAGGCATTCCTCCAGCCGACAAACCAACGCTCAAAGAAGCACGCTCACAAAATCGTAAGGGGCCCCTCCCTGGCTGTGGCACGCGCCCGCCACGATCAGCACGCCTTGCCCAGGTGCGGCGCTTCAGCGCATGACCCCGATCAGGGTGCTGACGACGATGACGAGCGCCGCGGCGAACACGTTGGCCAGCTTCCCCTGGTGAGCACCGAACCAGTGGCACCGGCACGAGCACGCACCCAGCACGGGGTCCTTGTCTTCATCCTCGGTACCCATATCGCCCCAATCGTCTTCCTGCAACCTGCGCACGTGCAGCAGCCACCGCCCGAAATTGACACCCAACATATATGGAAAAGATTACGAGACGCACTTTAAACAGATTTCGTCATGTCCAAGAGTGGCGCTTTAATGGGGGATGGTGCCACGCTCTGGGACCAAACACGGGCCAACGGGATAAACGCCAAATTGCCCTGCACCATATCGCAGACGCCTGGTTGCTTGTGGCCAATGCCAAGTAGATGCGAACGATATATCTGCGCATGCACCCCCCTGAACGCTGAATGGCAACAGGAACCTGCGGGGAGGCCAGCAGCTTGCTGTGCTGTGCTTGCGGTGGCTTTCGTTCTCAACACCGTCAATTCGAGGAAACACGGTCGCCACTGCTGCTGCACGGCGTTGTGCAACGACGAGGGCTGTTCCTCTCCAGGTGGTCTGCAATTGCTGTCAGTAACACTTGCTTAAACGAATTTGCAATCATCCAAATCATCATGTGACATATGCCGCGAATGGTGCCCAACCTGGGTGGTGCGGATTGTTGGTCGCCACCAGTTTCGCCACTGCGGCCGTTGCGGTGCCTGTGCGCCGTCCACAAACTGCCAGGTTCACAAGGTTTCTGTCCGCATTCGAACAGTGATCGATTTTCCCATAGTCAATGGAGAGATTGCACCGTGTGCGCCTGACGAGTGAGACCGTGCATGCTGCGCAGTTGTCGCATGTGGATGGGACAGGCAACAAAAGGCAAATTTGTCTGCACCATCAATGAAGCCGGAATCGCAAATTTCTGCAACGGCGGCATGAAGTACACGAAGCGTTTCTGCTGCTGGTGTGCCAAAGGCATGGTTGCATCCAATACCCAGCGGTGCTGTACTGGGAGTGCCAGCGCTCGTTGTCCAGATGGTCGCAAGGGCAGCATCAGACGAGTGGCTGGATTGCAAAACGGGTCGTGCCCATGGCTTACCCCGGCCAGGTACTTTCCTGACAGGCTCGGAATTTCGACACGCTGCCCAACCCACTGCACTCAACAGAAAAAAAAGGCCACGCTGCAAATAAGATACACACATGTATTTGCAAACATGTGTGCCCATATTCAAGGAAAGAACTCGCAATACAAGCACAAACAGACAGTGGACCTATCAACTCACCTCCTTGTTTCACTGGCAGGGGTCGGATCTTCGGAGACCCTGCCGTGATTTGTGGCTGCCATCACTTCGGTGAATTCAGCGGAGCTCTCTGTCGGCGGCGGCAGCCTTGGTGTCGATGGCAGCGGATCATTGTCCGTGCTCACAAACCTGACGTGCGCAAACGAGGCTCAGCAGTCTGCAAATGGAACCAATTTCAGCTGTTAATTTACGGCACTGTACTAATGAAGACTGTTTTCACGATACTTTGCATGAGGAACATCAGCCAATGTGTCACTTTGCAGCGCAAGAGCAAGGCTTTTGTCACCTTTGACAAATACAACCAAATGGCTACCACTCACCTGGAGTAGTGTGTGTGTGGCATATTAACACTCCCACCGCTGGCCGGCGCCTTCCTCCTCAGTATTATCCTCAGGGCATTTGAAAGGAGCTCTGAATGAAACATTCGCCCTGAGCCCACGAGAGATTTGTTCAGGAGGACATGACAAATCAATTGCTCACAGCATTGAAAAATTCTTGAAAGAGCCTCCGTTTGCGGGCCTATGTTGCTCCATGCGTCCACTCTGACAGTTGAAGACTACGTTTCATGCGCCGTCCAAGCCCAGATGTTGCATGACAGACTGGAATACACAGTGCCATAGGCAACTGTCTCACTGGCCGGTTTCAGGCATCGACCACACGTGATGGAAGACAGTAGTTTGATTTTTGTACGCTTAACGTCAAATCCACGTGAGGCTCAGACCCCCCCTCCCACCCCACACCCCTTCATGTCAATTTGTCGCCAAGCATACAAAAATCAAAGCAGTTTCTTCCCTTAATCATCAGCGCTTGTGCATGTGTCGTTTGCTTGGCGATCCTTAAACTACAGCATTCGACCCAAGAATATGCCTCAGACAGAGGGGATTCCACAACTTCCCGCACGAGCATGTGAAGCAGCAGACTGGAATCATCGTGGAGAAAACTTACCGGCAAGCTTGTGTTCGTGGGGCGGAGGGTAACACAGGCTGACCGCCACCAGAATTGTTAGGGAGAATACGAAGAGGGCCATGGAGAAGTAGTTGAAATTCAGGCACCGGAACCAGTTCTGACCATTGAGGGTCTGTCACAGGCATACAACAATCCATCAGGCAAGCCTGCAAGCAACACCCACCATTGGAATTCAAGAATGCACCTGTGTTTCAAAAACATGGCAGCCATCAAAATGGCACTGACAATGAGCTCGGAACTACAAGTCAGTGGCAGGAATTGAAGGCAATGCACGGCATCCAGTATTCCACATTTTTTGGTGCACAGCATTGCGCGGCTGCAGCAGCCGGGGCACAGGGATGCCACACACAAGGGCAGCTGAATTGGACTGCATGCTAAGCCCTCTCTACTATTGTCCTTCCATGATACATGATAAATGCTGTGCAAATCTGTTTAAGACAGCTATCTGCATGTTGCAGAAGTACCCAATTGCAGCAGGCCACTGTGTTTATCTCGTTCTGGTGATGGGCACTGGACAGTGTGCACAAAACAGGAGCCACTACCTAATTTACAATCGCTGAGTATGCTTTGCTGGAAAACAGGCCATTGGGGAAACAGGGAAGATGCACAGGTAAAGAGAATAACACAGCGCCTTTCAATGGACTGATGGCCCAATATCCATGTCCCTTCCACTGCAATGGGGTGGCACTTCAACAGGCGCCAATTTGTGGCTGTCGTACACAAAAACAGTCAATGCACACACCACAACTGCTGACAAGAGATTCTGAGAAAACCGTTTTCAGTGAAAGCTGATGCAGAACACCCTTGTGTTGCACCAGTGGTTACAAGTGGTGCTAGTCAAACGTAACACAAGAATACATGGAAAGACAGTCAGACACTGTACTCAACCATCAAGCACAAGCCAGGACGCACAAAAGCACAGAAGTTTGTGCCATAGTCACAAACCACCCGACGAACCCTACAATTGTGTGGGTTGCAATCCCCACCAACAGGCCCCAGCCACCGTACCACTGATAGCTACACACCGTAGAGTACACAGCAACAAATATGGGCAACCAATTGATGCAGTCAACAAGCAAATCAGTATGAAAACAGCATCCTGACGCCTCCACTCACAATCACACGTGTCACAGGGTCCACGAAACTGCTGCAGTAGTCCTGGGACATCATGGTCACAACCAACCGGATGCCACCCGTGATGGAGCCCGCCGCAAGGGCTGCCAGGGCACCTTCACCGTTGGCTCGCCTCCACAGAAGCGCTGCCAGGAAGATGGCTGTCACGGGTGGGGCCACATGTGTCATCGCGTTCTGGGCCACTATGTACAGGCTCTGTTGGCTCGCCTGGATGACGGGGAGCCACATGAACGTGAGGAACGTGAGGGCCACGGTCGTGATGCGGCCCACATTCACAAGGATCCTTGGCGGGCCGTTCCCTGGAAAAGGTGACAGGCTCAGAGCTGATGAAGTCACAGGGGGAACCTTCACACGCATCCTTCTCTCCCAAATGAGCCAGTGCGAGAACTGGAAGTGCCAGCTGGCACCGAGATATGCGGTGGTTGCTTGGCACACGTTTTTTAAGGTCTTAGCAAAGAGCGTAAGAGGGCCTTCACCAGAGAGTCTTGAAATTGCATGGCTGCCAGCAGCAGCTGCACATTCTGGTTTTTGTGCAGTGAGCTGTGCCTGTGCGATTTGTTGCAGATAGCTATGCATCCAATGTGGATTGTCCACAGCAGTCTAACTTGCTTGTGCAGTTGAGAGATGCTTTCCTGGCTTCATATCTTTATTGAGGCATGGTATCCTTACATTTCCGCAAAATCTTTCACGTGCAGCATTAGAATCTTTGTGCATGCCTGTTTTATGAGCCTCCACTCCTGTGTGTATGTGGTATTATCATGACACGAGAACCTCTACTAGTACACCAATCCCCTAAAGCCCTTACCTTCAGGACCATAAGCAAATCTCTCATACACATCATAGGTAAACACTGTTGCAGCAGAGTTGAATACAGCAGACAGCGAGGACATCATGGCTGCCAGAAAAGATGCCACCATCACCCCCTTGACTCCCGTGGGGAATTCCTTGACCACCAGCATTGGGTATGCCCTGTTGGCAGCTTGAGCATCGTCCAAGTGGGTGCCACACCATTGTGGAAAAGCAGCACCATGAGAAGATGTGCAGCTTTCAAAAAGGGCTCGAGCAACCATTCCAGGAACAACTGCAGGCAGCCAGGCAAGGTTGTGAGGGTTCAAGGCCCCGTTGATGAACACAAGAATGGCCCCATACAACAACAGTTAAACAGCTGGAATCATTGTATATACACTTCCCCAAACCCAGTAAGAATGCCTCTTATGGCTTTGCACCACAAGCTTTGCCATAGTGGTCACCTTTATGTGTGATTCCTCCTAAATAGATCCTTTTCAGTAGAGAGCACACTGTCCAAATTTCAAGACAGTGGAGCAAAGACGCCAAAATATTAGCATTTCGAACAAGAGTTTGGCCAGACTGCTTAGGAAAAGTCAAGGTCTGCCTAGCCCTGACCACTTCATTTCTAGTGGACAGTACACAACCATGAGTGGCTTACAGCGGCCATTGTTTTGGCTGCTGGTTCAAGTTCTCCCAATGATACAGCAGGGCCACAGCACCAGGTTGTGTACCAGAAGATGCTCTATCCTCACAATGATTTGGAGAGTACAACAAGATGTTCACTGCGGTTTGGATATCGAAAAGTCGGCCAAGTTCAAGTTCAGGATGGTTTCAGAACACGCCGCTGCTGTTGACAAGATGCCTGGGAATGGGAAGGCCACCAGAGACACTGGGAGGTAAGTATGCTCAACCCTCTGGGCAGGAGCACCAAGACCAGCTAGAAATGGCAATACTGGGCACTCCCTCCATGACAATTATTAGGCCTGCTCACAACACTTATGAAGACACCACTTTGGCATACTTCTAACGCCGCCAGCGCAGACGCTGGAAACTTCACTGCACTGATGGTAATGGCCTCCATCGGCGCCTGGAAAGCTGCCACCATCGAGTTTCTCAGATATTAATGATATTTCAGGGCCCTGTTGTGCTTGTGCACTGGGGCATGCCTTTCACTGGAGACTGCTACGGTGCACAAAGTTTAAGACATATAGTGATGCCTCAGGGACTTAGGACATTGGAACACCCTTTGGAGAGAATGAATCCTAGACATGTCCATGTGTTGCCGCACAGGATGGCGCAAAATCGCGGAAATCGGCGAAGGTGTGAATCAGTCACAGCTGCCTTTTCTGCTAGTGTTTCATCGCCATGAGTGTCCAGCGTTGGGCTTGGGAGAACCCTCGCACATGTCTTTAGCCAGAGAGCTGGCCCCTGACAAAGAGGGGCCCCACTGCGGCCTCACCACAAGGCACGGTGGCCAGGACGACCTGCACACCCAATGCGATTCTCCCGAATAGGCCACAATTTTCAGCCATGTTCATGGCCTCAAAGGTGTGCCATCCTCATCTTCATCCTCATATTTGGGCTCATGGTTGCCAAGGACTTTACATTGAAGCACGTGCAAGCTTGTGCAACAAGGGTGCTTTGGGCATGCACCACAACACTTGTCACCAAAACATACTCAACACACAACTTGATGGGAGGGTGCAGTGAGCCACAGAGGGCCACATCACACATCAATGACAGATGCATAAGGATAACCAGACAACCAAAAATCTTGTTCTGCACTGGGCGAATTAGATTCTCAATCACTCTTGTCCTGAAAGTCTATTTTCTGTCCTTTTATTCTTTCTGTGTCCCAGAGTCTCCCAGCAATCCGATTTTTCTGCTCAATCTTGTGCACGAAACATTGCTTAACATTGCTTACAACTGTTCACTGCACAGTAACCTCATGCTGCAATCCATGCAATATGCTGCTACAGCATTGCTTTCTTTGACGCACCGATGAATGAAACAATCCACGGTTTAACTGCTCTGCTTCTGCATGTGACATGCAAGGAACGTCATTTTGCACAAGTCTGGCCAGCAAATTTCCCCTGAAAGTTATTATCCAAAGAGTCTTGGAGGAGGGGGGGGGGCATCTTGTCACTTTGGGTTGAAATCTGTTTGCATCCATTTGCGAATGTGGTCACACATTGCCGGAACTTTCATTTGGGGTCCTTTCCTGTCCTTGGAGATTCTTACTACTATCTTGAGGTGCCCAATTGGCCAGCTCCATTGACTGTGTGCATTGTGGTCACGAGTGTTCCACTGTGTGCATTCCACATTGCCTGTTAATCTTCCTGAACTTATGCGAATTTCCAGTCCTTTCTATCTAGGTGGCCATCAGTATTTGGTTAAGACAGTGCGCATGTGTCAACCACAATCCAGTTCGGCACCCCCAAAATACAGATGCAATAAATAATCGCCTTGAAATGCAAGCAAAATGTTTGGCATGAGGACCCACACAATCATGAACGAATGTCTTGTGGTATCAAAAACGAACCATAGTCATAATGAATGTCATGCAGTGAAGAATACCATGTGTCAACAGCTGCCCTTTTCCTTGGTGCAAAATAAGCAGGGGTTGGATGGATGAGTGGAGGGACTATGACCAAACGTTGACTGGATGCTGCTGCACTAGTCACCGCCTTCCAGTTGCAAGCGCCTTGTATTTTCATGTGTTTTGACAAATGTTAGTTGCGGAACCTCACACTATAATAACAGCATACCTACAACAGCAACAAACTTCTCAAAATAACCGCGTGCTGATTCAGCAGTTGCCAAGCTGTGCTCACCAGCACAGAACCCACCGCGGCACCCAGTACTGTTCTGCATACTGTGTCGTTCATCATCTATTGGTATCGAAGTACCGAACCCCTGCAAAGTGCACAACTTGGCACTCTTCTACACCTCCTAACAGTTGCCTCTCCACTACTCACCGGTGATGAAGACAGGCATTATTTTCATGAAGCCTGCAGCCGCTGTGCCAAGCTGTGCAGCTTCCAGGTTCTCGGAACTCAAGACACGCTGGGCCATCTCTTGGTCGATGCACCAGTACCATATGCTCGCAATGGGCTGACCGATGAGCATGCCAGGCCTGAGGCACATAAAACTGGCTGATGAGCTGTTACAGCCTTGACAGCGCCCATCTGCAACTATCCGCACTGCCATGTCTTTCATGCAATGCCAAATGCCCTCAGAAACTGCTACACTGTGAGTGTGTGCAACAAAAGCTCTTGCCCCGGAGAGCACACATTGTGCTATGCCTGAGCCTTTTTGCACGTGCACTGCAGAGCCTCAGCCATTGCTGACCACGGTCAAGCAGAGGGCACACCTTGATACACATGCGAGCAAAACGAGCAATGCACAAGGCATGAATCCCACCATGGAAAATCATTGACGTGCACGTTGTGCAGCATGTGTGTCATGTACTCCTGGCCATTGTCTCTTAGAACGCTGAAGAGCCCGGTCATGCCGCCCACCAGCTTCAATGCTGTGTGGGTTCCAATGAAGCCACCGATCACGAACATGAACATCTGTACTGTGTCTGTGAACATGACAGCCTGGGGGCAATGAACCATGTGGTTATCAACACTGGCGCCGCGATTCTTTCATTTAGCAGAAGAAACAGATGGTTAGAAGAGAACACAACTTCTGATTGGTCTTATAAGGCAAGTGACAACCCAAAATGCAGCACAAGGGCTTCCATATGCAAAGCAAAAAACACAATCACTAACACTTGAACACTCACAAAAGGACAGCACAACAACCCACGATCTCCTTCCCCGTTCAACGCGGGCCTTGTGACTAGGGGCGGCACAACTCTACACACTGCTGGCAGTCGCCATGGTGGAGGGTCTGACTTTGGTAGATGGCCTGGTCACAGTGACATTGCTGAATAAATCCTCATCCATCACATTCTCAAAGCTGTTTGAGGACAAACCCTGCCAAGCTTTTGCCAACCGCAATCTATGCGGATTCAGTTGCACTGCTGTCCTTGCCAGTTGAGGACTTCTGGGTATGGCAAAAACGCGCTGCAAATGTTCTGTTGAACTGCAGCTGCAGGAAGGTTTCCAAATGCATGTAGTATTCATAACATTCTACACATAGGCTGATGCCCATAATCTCCTGACTAGAATTGTGAGGTCATTGGAGACCATGTGCAGATTGAAACTGGCCGGTCATCTGAGAGCGACAGAGACAAGATCCAGGAACAGTGTCTCATTCCCGATGTTGCCTATGGGAATCCAGTAACTCGTCCCCTGCGTCGTCTGGAACAGACTGCACAATCTCGGGTCATGATTTTGTCAAAGTAAGCAGGCGGATTCGTGCCCACGATAAGGGATGGTCATAGTATTGTGGATCATTTTGTAAATGACTGCTGGCACACAGGACACAAACACAGAATTCAAAGAAACAATATATGAGCTGAACACAAACAGCAAAATCAAACAGCAATATGATACTCTCTGGTGTTGATATTCAATATAATCTGATGCAACTCCAGGCTCTTGCATCTGTCAATGGGCGTGATGAATGCAATCAGATGAACAGCAACATTACCCACACCAAGAACACTGCATAACCTCACAGTTTCTCGCAAGGTGGCAGAAGGCACATATTTCTTCTGTTAAGATGGAACAGCACATGAACACCAACACACAATGGATCACTTCGGAAAGAAAGGATCGTGAACACTCACCGTCAGGCCCCCGGCAACAGTGTACAAAGCCGTTCCCACTATGATGAGAGGGGATGAGACCCACATGCCCATTCCTAGAACAACCTCAAAGACGACAGCACCAGCATATAAGCTGGCACCGATTTTTGACAGCACATACGCAACGAGCGTAATGATCACAAACAGGCCCCTGCACCACAACCCAGGAACTACTTCAGTCAAGGGGTACGCACACGAAGAAATCAGAGTTGTAAAACCTTGTCAGCATGCATCACAACGTTCATCAATGCCGTGCAGCAGTTGAAAACTTCGCATTTTTCTTTCTAGGCTTGGATTTCCTTTGAATACGACCATCATCACAATATCGACCTGAAGCCCTTTCCTTGCTCAAGCCAAGGGCAGGGAGGGGTTTGCAGCTCCGCTTTTCTCTGACATGTTTTGTGGGATTGTGGTATACAAAAGCGGTTTCCAATAGGCGCTTTTATACATTGCAATCTACCACCAAGACCCAAGTGCCTGTCCTCCATTTCAAACTACAAAGTGTAGTCTAAGCTTCCACCCAGTGTCCAGTGTGCTACATCTCGGTGTCTGGGTTTTTCTCCATCCAAGGTACCCATCCTGATCTGCTCAAAGGAGGGAAACTCCAGCAGCTCACACACTTTCATAAGGAGCGTGCACAGGGGCACACTGGCTGGACAATACACTACTGCACTGTGCTCAGTGCCAAACATCGCCAGACTGCCCAAAGGTGTTGTATCACTTTATGATGTTCTGACAACATGCACAGGTGTAATTCGTGCTTCTGGCAGTACTCAAGTACCAACTGCAGTACTACTGGCATCAGGCAAATGCATAGGTAGGAAAGGTGCAAACCCTGTTGCCTGCCATGTATCTTGTTCAAAAGAAGAAATTTCCTTTTGATAGTTTGTTTTCTTGGTGAGAGTTGCTGATTGCCGCATGCTTGTTCCCTGTGCATTTAAAGATCTGCCCATCCCTTTCTAGCAAGCTTCTTTACAGTTGCTTCAACAGTTTCATTTGAGATGCTGGTTTGGAGGTCATGGAGATGGCATTATGGACAACCTGTGCATGCATTAGTGCCTATCTCCACCTTTAGTCTGCAAGGGTGGTGCTTCCCCTTTCACAAACAGAATCCAAGAAGCTGCAAATACAGAGAGCCTGAAATGCTTGTTGACTAGCTCAGGGCAACTATCGTGCGGCCTGCTCTCTTCCATCTGAAACATCGCAATGAAAGCGCATCGCATCTCACACCACATCGACAAGACACAAAACAAGCTGGCTCGGTTTCCATTCTGTCGTTCTCCAAAATCCACAAAGTTTGTTGCCACACCAAAATGAACCAGAACAGGCAACTCTCCCACCTGCACCACTTGTTGTATCTCTGTTCAAGGAACTCAGGGATGGTTGTCAGGCTGCACCTCAGGTACACTGGGGCAAAGAACCAGCCCAGGAGGAGCAGCAAATAGGCAGCAGTCCATTCTGCAGTGAAAAACGCTGCAGATTGTTAGTTAGGAGCTATGGAGGTGGTGGCAGGACGCTGTCAATCGTTCGTGTGTGGTGTCTACGACTTGTTGTCAAAACTTCGATCAACATTTGTCATTGCCTGCCCTTAGTATGTTCAAGGTTATGACGATCAGATTGTGTTGTCAACAATCAGGAGGAAGCAGGGCTGCACAGAAACTCAGTATCCTGCAAATCTTCTTTTACTATTGTGCTTCTTCTTTGGCCATTTTCCACGCATGAGGACAAATACATTCCAATCAGCAAGTGTTGATGTTGGGCATGGGCACAGCTGCCGCCTGGATGGCAGCAGAGAATGGCAGCTGTCCTGCTGAAGCATGAGCTTGTTCAGTGAGGCATCAGCGTCAGTTTTCACTCCTTAGCATCCAGGTTGAAATTGATGCTTTAACAATACACCTGCTGTCTGCCAAATGTCACATATGTTGAACATGTGCAGTGCACAACAGCCAATGGACAGACCCAGCACATAAAGTAAGCACAGAAGACAAAGGGAAAATGCAGTTGTTATGCAAGCGAACGAATCCAGATAGGGACGAAAATGAACAAACGCCTTAACATCGTACAAGGTTAGTGAGCCAACAACAAATGCACATACCCACATACCATACAAACCAACAGCGATTCCACCAGCTGCGGCAGCTCCAGCCTGCCCAACGAAGTGTTCAGTGCCTGGGAACACAGGCTTGTAGATCAGACAAACACAGAGCCAATCGTATTGGTTGTCCATGCTTCCTTTGTTCTATTGCAAAATGTATTCGTCCCAGTCAACACCCAGTGGGTGAAATGACTACAGAAACCTACTGTAACTGCAATTTAAATTTTGAGGACAATGCAGCGCTCCACACTGAACCAAATGATGGCGAGCTGGCTGGAGCACATTTTTGTGGGCTATTCTTGCCAACGAATGTGCAGCCAAGCGGTTGCTGGTGCATATTCTGACAAGTTCTCCTGTTGCAGTTGTCAAAAAGTCGCAGAACACAGCCCTTGAGTCTGTAACATGATTTTGGGGCATGGCTGCATGCTGAATGTCCAGATAGCGATCGACATGAACGCCCGAAAAGCAAGTCCACCTGAAGGTGTGACATGCCTAAACCTCGGTGCCGCTCTGGTACTGCAGTTGGCACAACTTTGATGTTTCTGGCCAAGAAACACTTTATTGGCCCTCAGCAGAAGTGGACCAGAGCACCATCCGTGACTTCATTAAACGAGGCACTTGTTATAACAAGGCTTACCACCGCCACGCTATTAGCACCAAAGGGATGGTATCCTCCAACATAACAAGCCATCAATCTCCATCAAAACTACAGCTATATTTCGTTGGGACCGCTTATGTACCCTCCGAGCACACACAAGTCACCTCACAATGAGAAGCCTCTAGATTAGTTTCTGGTCTCGGTTCAACCATCAGCAGAATGCTCGCTGCCTCGTGGTACTCTTCCTGACAAGGTATTTTAAAGGTCTTGAACAAGAAAATTTGATGGGCAGTGAGAGCGAAAGGCACAGCGAAGGCTGCCCCCCCCAACGGAAAAGGGGTGTGTCCTACAATGAGCGCGGCCTTCTGGCCCACGGCCTGCGGTCAACTGTCGACACTGTGATTAACGGGAAGCCGAGGGGCCGGACACGCCTGAGCACAACTTGTGCTCCTGTTCTCTTGGGTCCACTCATAAACCGACGATTCAACCCGCGATTGGGCTTTGCCTCCCCCCACTTGGAACCATCAGTTCACTTTCATCCCACACTGCGGAGGCTGCAGCAGTCGTCCTCAAGCACGACAGCAACAGCACGCGACGTCGACTGGGAAAAAGAGTGGGGTGCACATTTTTTTTCACCTGAGGGCATCCTCCCCAGTGCACCGGGAGCCCCTCCTTCACCCAACACGCGAGCGCCTTCAACGCGCACCCCCGAACAAATCTTCCCCGCCAACAACAAGTCTCCTCCCCACTTGCACCCCAGTCACCCATCCTCAAATCGCAGGCGGCGCACGCGCACCGATGTTTGACGCGAAGAGCGACGCCGCCTGTATCCACCACGGCATGCTCCTGCCCGCCAGGAAGAAGTTGTCTGCCACGGAGCCCTTGCGCTTCTTGACGGTGCTGTACATGCCGATCCCGAAGACCACGACCAGCGACAGCGCGGTGATGGCCCAGTCGCCTGGTCCCAGGCTGCCGCTGGCATTGGCAGCCTCGACCGGTGGCTGCGACCGCGGGTCTTCGCCGATGTCGCGCATCTCACGCAGTTGCTTCTTTTGCAATCACGCCCCAAAGATCGAGATGAGTGAGGGTGAGGAGTGGCGTGACTTGACTCTTTCACGACCTTTGATCGCCGCTTTTGGCGCGGGAGGGCAGCGCCACTGCCGGCGGGCGATGGTGGCCGGCGAGAGGGAGGCGGCGTCCGCTGCCTTGGGGCGGTTGGGCGGAAGGCGTCACGGTCACGGGTGGAAGGGCGGGGCCTCCACAACGAGGCCGCTGATGTAAGTGCCGGTACCCGCCTCTGGGTGGCACAGCAGCCGGCTCACTCGCGGATGCCCGGCGGAGGTCGCACGCGCAAACAGGCCCTCGCGGCCTCACGTCTGACTTGGTCGGAAACCCAAGCGTCGATTAAAGAACAGTCTGTTCCTTTGTAGGCGGTCACTCGATTGTACAGCCCTTGAAGGTGTCCCCGTTGACGTACAGCACCCTCCACTCCAATCCAGCCATGACGCACAATGCAACCATGCTGGCGGGCTCCGCCTCCAACGAAATCCCACAATCTCCCACAGAACTTCCTAACTGCTTCACCTTACCCGAACCTGGCACCTCTCCCCGCGTTCCTACCTCTAGGCCTGCCTATCTGGACCCGTCCGCCCGCCGGCGTTGCTAGGGCCCCTACCCCAGTATCCTACCCAGTCCCCGTACTCCCACTTCATTACCCTACATTCCCTTAACAAGCCCATCAGCCTTCCGCGTCACCCCTTCACCACGACTCCCATCACTATAGGCATTCCCCCTGTACCATTAGACCTCCCAACCGAACACTGATCCTCCTAATGCTCGACTTGGACGGGTTAGACGGATATGTCAGCCGGGGCCGGACTGTTCCCGATACGGATCACACATACGGAGACTGTTGAAATCACCTCAAATCAAGGCCATTTATGCACAGACCGTTGATTAAAAAAACAACAAAAAAGGGTTAAAAAGAGGACAAAAAGGGGTGATTTCATAACACAGGGGAAGAAGTTTTAAGTGGAGAAACCGCATTTATTAGGATTAGAGTGCAAGACTTTAACCATCAGGAAGCCATTGTCCGAGCGTGGCAGCGCCATGGCTGGGGCGTGCCGACGCCATGGCACAAGTGTGACTAAACGATGTGTGAAGTACTGGGAAGGACACGGGACCTTTTTTACAAGATGTTACCAAGTACAAGGACTAACTGCGATCGCCAAGATGTCGCATTTGTCCGCCCTGGTGGCGTGGACAGTGTCCCATGAGCTGTCCGACTGAGACTACCTCTACTTCTGGCCCAAGAACTGATTCCCAACATTCTAGAGCCTGATTTGCGTTTGCAGCCTGCACAGCAGGGCGCAGTGTCCATCGCAGTCACCCCGCCTGCAGGCGGTCAGACGCGGTGTCCCACGATGGTGTGTACGGACTATTGGAGCGTGGAGCGGTGGCAGACAGACGGTGGAAATGTCGGTGGGCCGACCCCTCGGAGCTTCGGATCATGAGTGGTTGATTCGGGAGCGGCATCACCGCGTCGGGTATCCGAGCACGCGGGCTGGGAGCAGGATAGGAGAGGACAGGAGAGGGAGACTGCAGCGGAGGCCAGGGCTCGATGTCGCATCGAGGTCCATCATCGGAGGCGTACTGAGCGATGGAAAAGGCGGGAATACGGCCGCGAGAGGACGATGATACGATGTTGGAGGCTGTCGAGCTACAGACATACGATTGACTGACAATAGTAACGTAGGATTGATCCTTGGGCAGGCAGGACTAGAAGTGACTAATTGTTGATGAGTTATTAGGGACGGAGCATGACGGCGCCATGGTTGGGCATGGCCAGGCCGTGTTTGGCGTATGCCGCTGCCATGCTCAGGGTAGGATCAAGGGGTGATCTGATCCATGACAGGCGCACTATGATGTGTATTGGATGGAAAAGAGTCTTTTGTTAGTCGGAGTTGCGCTGGGGAACGTCGGGAACAGTACCAAAGACAATAAAGATGTGATGATGCACTGGTTTTAATACAAATACGAGGAGCTCCATGGTAAGCGAGAGCCTCGCTGAGTCCGTTGATTCCTGTCTTATCTGCGCGCCTTTGGTCGTGCTGGTTGCCGTGTCGGTGCCAGCCTGCCTCCGCCCCTCTCGCGAAGGCGCTGCCCCAGTCGGTCGGGGCTTCGTGTCGACTTCTCGTCGCCGGCAGCGTCGCGTTGGGCGGAGGAGCACCCGGTGGAGTCTGTCTACCACCCCAGAGGGTCTGACAGGGTGCGGAGGCGAGCTCCATTAAAGATCCATTCTACTCGGTCGAACGTTTGGTTGGTTGGCAAGACTGCGCTGGCTTTGAAGGAGTGACGTGGTCGGTTATGGCACGTTGCTTTCAAGAAGACCCAACATCACAACATGCCGCGCACACACGGACACCCTGTGTGGACACCTCGAAGACGCCCAACCGCCCAGTCCTAACCCGTCTCCGGCCCGTCAACGCCACCGTCTCATCGTCTTCGTCACCGTTACTCTGTTAAATGGGACCAAATCGTGTTTTCATTACCGTTGTCCTGGTGGCGCCAAAAACTCAAACCACCAACAGAGATCAGCAGTAGATGCCCCTTTCCACTGTTGACAAATGGCAATGCCAATTTTGTTCAGTGGAAAAGAGCATCCATTGCTGATGCGCAGTGACACTCTTCACTGCGGTTTTTCCTTGCGTCTCCACGTGTTGACATCTTGTGGCGGTCGGATTGTAATCCACGGGCAAGCGATCTGAAAGGGCCTCACCAGGCTTGTTATTTACGTTTAACAACACCACCAGGCTTTTATGTTTACATGTAACAATGAGCAAATAGAGAACAGCCATTTTTTCAGCCATATTTACACATGTTCCAGCTCGTCGACACACCCAGGTTACATGATGATGTCCTAAACAATGCTCAGCCCTGCGCCTCCTCGTCGAGCAACAGGTCGTTTTTATTCCCATTCCAGGGCGTGTGACTACCACCAGGCTTGGTTTTTACGCCGTAAAAACTGATCGTATTTACGTTTTTACGCGTAAAAATGCGTAAAAATACGTAAATACAACGTAAAAACTGCCCGGTGTACATAAGGACAGTACATACAGACTTATGGAGGCCGGAGAGCGGCAGCCAGATGCCCTGGAAGGGGCAGAAAACGAGTTTTTGTCAAACACCATCATCGCCCTTGCCAAGGGCGAGGTGGACACTGTGTTGTGGGTGCTGGATATGGCGGAGGACTGATCATTGTACGCAACTTTCATCACGTAATCTGGGCGTCCAAGGGAGCCGTAAAAACGTAAAAATAGCCGTAAAAATAGGGCCTTTTGCAAATTTACGTTTTTACGCGTAAAAACGTAAAAGTAAAAACGTAAACGTAAACGTAAAAACCAAGCCTGACTACCACTCCACTGGCTCGCTCAGTCTGTATGTACTGTCTTTATCTACACCTTTTTATGCATTTTTACGCCTATTGAGGGAAGGGACTATTTTTAATTTTGTACGCCTGAAGTCAAATTGACGAAAAGGGGGGCTGGGGGTTTGTCCAGCCATTGAAGCTAAGATATTGCGTAATTGCATGAAAATCAAACTGAGATGGGAAATGGAAAATGCGCCACTGATCAAGGGCAGATAGCTCATGAATTGCTGCAAAGCCTCTATAATACTTTCAGTCTGTACATAGAAATTTACTCAGGCGAGTCTGCCAAGTACAACGTACTTGGCGTCAGTTTTTATCCACGTCACTCAGCACCCAAACACCTCGATAATCCACAGCCTCCGGGAAACCGATCAGCCCACATACATGCTTCGAAAATCCACATGATACGCATCATGACCTCAGGACATGACGTCACTTATACATGACTTGTGAGCCCATAAAATTGGCAGATTTTGCGCATTTCACCATGATGGTAAAATGCGCAAAGCTCTGCCCGTTGAAATTTTCAACATGACCCGACCTATCAGCATAACCTTTTAGTCAAGCGGATACCTCTGGGAGTGTGGAAGTACCAGTGGGCTCTGGGTCCAGAGCTGCTCTGTGACAAATGCTGCATTTGTGACGTGCTGTTGTGTAGAAACGTGGGAACTGGATGCGTTGAGAACGACGAGCAGAAAACTGCAGCCTCAAGCGCACTATCAACGAAGTACTGAGCACTGTTTCTTGCACCCGTGTGTTGGATGCGCTGCAATGGCGACTTCCGCGCAAATGTTGCCGACGGGAACCGACTTCCTGGCCGCTGCCGATCGCCCTTTCAGCGCAGTGCTCTCACTGATGACCGTCGAGTCGTCCGCCAGGAGACTACCAAGGCTCCATTCTGTCATGTGTCGGCCTTTGGGCGGCTCAATAGCGCAATGAGCCTTTGGGCTGCGGCGACCCCGTGGGTACGGGAGGTATTCACGACGGCCACGCGCGGGGAAGACAAGTCTGTCTCTCATGATCCGAACCCATCATTACAAACGAAGCGAGTGGTATTTATAGTGCGATGGTGTGACAGTTCATGAGTTGTTGTCTCCAGAATAACCACTCTGGCCACTTTCACGAGCTGGCCGGGTTCGTGTCCATTTCTCATGCCAAGTTTCTATTCCCGCCGCCCAGACCAACTATGATCCATTGCCAACTAGCCCAGCAGCTACCCGCGTACACTACCCACTCCCACTCTCCCTCACTCTGACACTTCCTCAGCTCCTATTCCCGCCGCCATCCCCAACTATGATCCAATCCCAAGCCGTCCCCGTTCGTTCACTATAGCCAATTCCCCTTAACTGGCTCCCCGATCATACATACAACCCCACTCCCCACACATGCTGGCATAAGATGATGTGTAGGCAAGATCCTTGAGGTGATGCACACGATCAGTGGAATCATGCACGCGGCAGAGCACTGCCCCCGGTTGGGGCGCGAGGGTCTGCAAGGACGGGGCGTTTTGCTCGGTTGAGCACCCCGTCCAACGTCGCTTCCGCCAGGTTTCGCCCGCAAGCCAGAGAGGGGGGTGCCATGCACACAAAATGGCTCGCTCCACACAGGGAGAGTGGACTTGCCCGCGGGCAGACTCGAGCTTCCGGCTCCTTGCGCATGAAAAGATGCACGCGGCGACCCATTCACCGCTCGGGCAGTGCCCGCGATGGCCTCTGGGGGCGGCAGGATATTGCGGTCAGAGTTTTTGGAACCGCAGTCTATTCGTAACCGCATGCGCAAGCGCAAAAATGAGGGGACCAAGGCGCCCAGGCCGCCCCGAAGGCGGTTCAGTGTTTCGAGGGTTCAGGAGCCTGAAGAGAGCGAGGAGTGCCGGAGGCCAACGGCGAGGTGCCGCGTTTTCAACGCCACCCTTGTTTGACCAGGTTCAGGCTGGAGGGCCAGCAGTCGTACCATCGCAACGGCCAACATTACCGCGTGCAGCCGCGGAAATGGATGGTGATTGAGCTGCCTCGGGATGTTGGAACAGCGGTGACATCTGCATACCAAGGCGTGGAGAGGGTCAGCGTAGATCAAACCAGCTGTGCGGTTAGCATAGTCAGGCAAGGGTGGGGAGGATACCCTTGGTCCAACGACGCGCAGCCGTTAGCTAACGGCCGTTAGCACCCTATAGGGTGGCGTTTGCGGGAGCGTTGAAGGAGGTGCCTCTTGCCAATGGCGAGGTGTATCGCATCGTCAACACGCAACTTAATCTGCATCCCTCCCAGGCGGAGGTCGAGGCCGCTGACCGGCTGCTCCTGCGCATGCTGGAGGGCGACGCGCCCGTGGCCGCCCCGAGGGCCGGGGACTCGGCGGGCATGCACGATTCGTGGAAGTGGATCGCGAAGGAGCTTGGGCGAGGTGGCGAGGACGCGGAGGTCGTCCGAGGGTTGTGGGAAGCCGTGTGGTCGGCGTTTGCTCCGCGCAGGACGTGGTGCGTTGTCGAACTCTTCTATGCGCAAGGAAGCATAAGTGCACTGTGCGTCACCCTATTGACGCTGTTCCGTTCTAACATTGTTGGGTTGTCGCGTTGTCACACTTTGCGCCGTCGAGCTCTTCCTTGCTTTGTGCGTCACCCAGCGTATGCGTTGCTGTGTTGTGCCCACTGCAACTCGTCCCTGCCCGCCGGTGCCTGAGGACCTGCTGGACGAGGCGATCTTGTTCCTGGCCTTCTTGCCTCGAACAAAACAACGCGCTTTCATCTGCGGCAGGATAACGGACGCTGTCGGCTTCCGCAGATGCGGCGCGACGGCCAAGCATCTGCGACGCCCCTCCCTGGCTCCCGGCTTCTCCGCAAACGACGCGACCGCCATCTTCCGCGCAGGCGCATGCGCAGGGATCGCCCTGGTCGTCTACGACACAGGCCAAGGGCAGCAGCCGTTTATGTCCTCCTGGCGGACGGGCAACCATGTGTTGAAGCACGTGGCGGAATTCGATGCCGGCGCAGTCGCACTCACAGGCGTGCACTTCGCACAGAGGGGTGCGCTCCCGGCGGGCACGCACCGCCACTCGTGGCTGATGGGCGACGGCCTGTTGCCCATCAAGGGGCGCCGCAGGGTCGGCGCGGCAAAGCGCGGCCTGGAGAAGGTGGTGCCGGGACTGGCGCAGCTGTTGGAGGGCGATCCAAACTGCCGGCGAGAGTTCCTGGCGACCGTGGACGGGCAACAGGCGGCCGAGGAGTCCAGCGGAATGAGACCAGCCCGAGCTGCGTTGGTTTACTGGCGTACGTTAGTGTGGCACAAGTTCGGGGCGAAGGGGTACGAGGGTGACCTGGATGAGGAGGTGCCCCCTATGCCGGGGGTTGTGCAAATGGTGAAGTTCGCGGAGGCGAGCCCCGGGATGGGCAGGGATAAGAGGGCCCCGGATTTTGATCAGCGCATGCCATATGACAAGCTGCTGGCCTGGAACGCCTACACCCTGGCCAGGTATCTCCCGGACGGGCCAGATCAAGGTGCAGTTTGAGCATCATTGAGGTGGAGGTTATCGACGGCATGCAGATCCGACATTTTTGGAGACCGAGAATGCGACAATGGGCACCCTCCTCGTGCAGCCTTGTTGGAGTGCTTTTTGAAAGTAGTTTTTTACGCACCACAGCTGCAAGAGTCAATGCAGTCGGCATGCAGGCACTTTGGGTCTATGAAAAAATCTATTGCAGTTAGCCATTGGAATCATGGCAGTGAGGGTACTACTGCGGCTCTACTCCGGAAATAAAAAATGGCGCATTGGCAATTCGACATTTTGAAGACCGGGAATTGTATTTCGGGGCATCATCTTTGGCACTTTTTGAAAGCAGCGTTGTGAAATCATTTCTCGCTGCCAAATACACAATTTATCAAATATATGAATCACTGCAAACACTTGCAAAATGCTCGGGGTTGGGCCTGGGAGAATCGGTTGATACCCAATGTTTTGTACCTCCGGGAGAAACCCACACACGCTGGACACAATCGCTTTGAAGGATCAATCAACCATGCGGAACCTGGACACAAGGGAGTGCAATAGCATGTGTGGTGAAGGACATCCCAGCAGCAACGGCATCAGTGACTGGGGGTGATGTGGCACAGAACATAACATCCAACACTGTCAGAAAACACCATGTTTGCGATGCCAGCTGCCATTTTGACACAAAGTGGCCCCATCACACTGATTGCGATGGAGTGTCAAATGTGATCGCAGGCATCGCAGAAATGTAGGTCTCTGCTGGTGTAAAACAGCATTCCCAGATGCCCTTTTGTAAAACTGTTATGGACCAGCGCAACGAGATGATACGTTTCATAGGGCAGACCGAAGGTTCAAGACCAGTTCCCAGACCATTATTATTCGTGGCGATAATCAACTTGACGGCTGTGCAGTCCCGCCGAACAGCTTGCCCGTCCTAATTGTGCTGCGGAAAAGCGATGACTCTGAGCCTCTGCCATATAAGAAGGGACAGATGCCTTGCTGCTTGTGGGATTGCGATGTAAGAGCCTTTCGCGGATGCCAACAGGTCCATAGACCTGCAACACTTTGTGGAACTATGAAAATTAAATACATCTCTGGAATGTTTTAATAAAGGTAAATGACTGTTAATCATCTATCGTACATATCCGTAGATTTCTGATGAATCTGTGAGCGAATCTATTCGACGGGAGTGACTGCGGCGCGGGAGCACTGAACCGCCTATACAAGCGGATATAGGCGTATATGGGCCTATGTATAATGTGGCTCCACGGACCGGTGGCGTTGGGATTGCGATTCGTTGCTTTTAGAAGTGAAGTTAAAATCTGAAGCCAATGAACGCACATGAACACTGCCACAATGAGGAAATCTCTACTCCCTCGGGCAGCCATTCTGAGAGGTCGCTGATGGATGACGTGTGCTGGGATCGTCAACGAAGTGGAGCGCTAGAGAATAGCTCCACGAAACCCATGGCTTGGTACTTGACATGTATGCAAAAGCAGAGTCCACACGTATGCACTGGCAGTACCAAAGTACCAGGAGTGCCTGCTTCCAGGCAGGGATTTCCAGCCTGCGGATGGAGCCGCAGTTGCCCGATAAGAATTGACACAGGAGCATAGCCAACAGCGCGTTGGGAACACTCCGCCGATTGCCAGCGATGCGGCCGGCTTTGGTATTTACTACGTACTCTTATAAGGGTTCAGGCACTATGACTCCGCCACCGCCTTCAGGGTGGCTTGTGATTAGAGCCATCCTTCAATACATAAGTACAGCAGCAAAAGTTTTGATGAGGATGAAGCAGCACAAAAGAGCAACTCGCTCCCTGCAAAATGCACCCTGTGCTTTTGTCTTTGCGTTCATTGGGCCCAACGGGTCCAAGGAGCAGTGTACAGGGGCACTCTTCCTGTAAAGCTCTTCTGGTGGTTTACTTTTGCATTAGTAACTCAGCATGCAGCTGCAATCTGTTTCCATATGCTGCTGCACCATCGTGTCGTGGACACTATCGCACACAGCATAAGGTACGTTTCAACGGAGTAACGGGAGACCAAAGTGCCCATGAACTAGTCGTAGGCAGCAGGCGACAAGCAGCCGGTTTAAAGGGATGTAAAAAGGGATGTGGAAAAGGCGCGCCGCGCCGTTGGTCCACGGGTGGTGATGGCAGCCGCGTGGACGTTCCGGAAAGGCATTCGAGGGGAGGGTGCCTTTGCCGCAGAGCACGACGAGGTGCAACACGAGGTCCTGTGCACGCTGCGGCTGTCTCCCCTTCCCACAGTACCAGACAGCGATTGCCCTCAATTGCCCGTTGCAAGGAAGATCGATGGCCGGCGTGAACGGCTGGGCTAAAACGTGATCGGCGAACGCGTCCAAACAGCGACAAGGTGTGACACTGTACAGAAACCGGAAAACTACCCCTTGTGCTGCCACACCCTCTCGTTCAAATTTTCGCAAATAATACCCAACATGCCGTGAACAGCCAGATCACATGTTGTCATTCAATGGAGTGGGACTTTGCATGACTGTAGCATGAAGTGTAAAATTAAATTTCCCTGTTGAAATTGCCATTCAGTGCCTAGTTTTTTTAGCCAAAGAAAAAATTGCAGTCCCCCGCAAATGCCTGCCGCAGTGGCCGGTGGAGTTATCCGGGGGGGCTGCAGCAAAGCGACGATTGACAATGGCGTCCTCTTCACCGCGGGCACCGCTGGGGCAAGCCGACCTGGACCAACTGTACCTCTGCCTTCAGGGCGCGTTGTCTTCGGACGTCGCTGCACAAAAGCGTGCGGAAGCAGCCCTGGCGGATCTCTCCACAGCCGCGGGATTCTGCTCATGCCTTGTGGTGAGAATCGGCGCACAGATCGGACGACGCCGGAAGCAATTTGGCTTCTCCCTCGGACCTTATTGTTGTATTTGTTCAGAGGAGCCTTTCCGTGGTCTTGGAACTCGGGGTCGAAGTCGTGGTGCTCTGGACATTTTGGTGTCCGTGCCACCGGTTTGTTCGCCATGGAACGTAAATTTTGTGAAAGAGAGTGTGGGCAGCTGGTAAAGATTGTCTAGAGAGGAGGTGCAGGTTGTTCTGTTAGGTCGACGCTGCTGCATTGGGGGGAAGGGAGAAGTTCTTCCAAATACCTGGTTGTGGCATTGCGAGCCAACTGGATTTGTGCAGGGGCTCAAGGGGTGCTTAAACTTTGCCCTTGCCCAGGAGATTATTCGCAAAGCTGAGGCTGATCACAGTGCCAGATGGCTGGCATCGGTGCAGCTAAAGAATACGGTGGCCAAGCTCTGGAGGACCAAGAGGGACACATCGTAAGGATTAAGGCCATGAATTAGGATGGGAGAATTGACTTCAAGATGGAAGACAACCTGTCATACAATGGGCTGTCCATCGCCCAACAGGGCTAACACAGCTGTGTGGGGCAATCAGAACACTTTGCTTGAAAAGAGATTTTGTTAGATGCGATGAATTGAGGTGTTGGGGAACAGGTTGTTGAAGCAATATTTCTGGGGAATTTCTTTACATCATGGAGTGCTCCTGGGTTCTCTGGTATCTGATCACGCACTGTCTGCTTGGTGGGATGTTCATGTCTCTGTGCTCCTGGCTAAGGCGATGTAGTTTAATCACGTTATGTGTGTGGTGCTTTCTTCAGGGGCATTTCACAGGATGAGAAACATCATTTGCGGCAGAGTCTTCTTACCATGATTGGCCAGGAAGATGACAAGGTGGAGCCAGGACAGAAATGAACTCGCTTGAAACCTATGTTCATGAGCGTATGTGTGCTCTCTGATGTGTTGGATTGCCATTGCGGTTCTGCTATTGATTGGGACTTAGTTCCGAATTTCTTTGGCTCGCCATGTGCTATGTACCGATGCTGTGGTTCCCATCAGATGATCACAGCCAGACACTGTTGTGTATATTTTGCAGTTATGTGCAGCACAATGAATTGGAAATGTGAGATCGGACATTGGAGTATCTTTCACACTACCATTTTGTACTGTTGCCCATGATTGACTCCTTGCGGTTGGAAGGCAAGCATTTGGAACAAGGGGTGTAAAAGTGTCGTGTTGCCTGACTACAGTGTGGTGTCCTTTTCAGTGTAACTTACGGAGGTTGATGAACGCTTTGCAAAAGAGTTGAGTTTTACAGTCTTGTAAGGGGTGCTACAGTTTGCCAGAGGGGCCAAACTGTGGCTTTTGCCAATGCTTGCAATGCCTCAACGACGAAATGCACAGAAGTGCAGAAAATTCAGGGTGTCTGTGAATCGTAAACCTCCTCTCGTGCAAGTGAATTCCAAATTTTGGTGGTGTATAAGCAGGCACAGTCCATCTGGCAAAATGGCAAGCACTGTGAATGCCCTGTAGATCCATGTCAGCCTGAAGCTATCTGTTGATCTGAGTTCAGGAGAGACATGTGCCATCACCGATGTTTGCTGTTCATGTTTTCTGCGAGGGGAAAGTCATTCCATTCACCAACAAAGGCACTCTTGCCATGGTGCCATTGTTATTGTTTACATGTTGTTGACAGCCTTCATTGTGCATAAAAGTGCAGGAAACGCAGTGCCGGGTGTCTGGGCTCAATGTGCTGTATTGCCTTGGAATGCAGATTGCGCTGCAGATGGCCCTCATTTTTGGCAAGGTCGCAAGGATTGACTTTCCAAGCCAATGGCCTGACCTGATTTCATGCCTGATGGCTGCACTGCGAACGGGCAACCCCTTGCTCTCACGCCGCACCTACCTTATCTTGCACTATGTACTCAAAGAGTTGTCATCGAAGCGATTGCCTGCAGATCAGAAGCTGTTCGCAGAGGTGAAGAGTGCAACATCACTGTCTTTGTCTTTAGCTGTTATTTGCCACAACCAGTCCATTAGGTGGCCCTTCCTGTGAAGAGGATGTGGGATTCCTTCCTTTGCTGCAGTGGACATTGTACAAGTCGCCAGATGCTGAATGGTCAGTGGCATGATCCATCTTCCAGCCAACGGAGGGCCTGCTGAATGCACCCAGATAGCCCTCCAACGTCTGTTTTGTTATTTTTGTCACAGTGGCTGATCGCGCACTGCCATGAGTGGCGGTGGCATTGATAGCAGGTTCAAAGCCATCTGCAGCATCGGCGACTTGTCTGTTGTCAATGGGTCAGAGACAATATTGTTTCAACAATAAGTGCATCCCCATTCTTTTAAATCTCACACTAACGAACCCATGCCCATCTGCCCTGCTTGGTTGCGTTGACATGCCATATCATGTGGATGCAATGATTTTCTCAGCAGAGCTTGTGTTTTCTTTCTGTCATGCTCTTTCCTCTCCCTCACCCTGCCTTCCTTATTCTTTCCTTTTGCTGTGGGGAGAACATTGTGAGCAGTGTGGAGCAGAGCAGCAAATTTGATTGTTTTACATCTTACAGTGCCTTCGGGGAAGGTGAACTGGTGCAGGCCATTGATTTTGGATTTTTATGTTTTGGAGCTGTTGCACTGGAAATCTTCTCTCTGCTTGCATCCTTCCCACACCTGTTCCCTTACTTTTGTTGCTCTGTCCTGTGCAGGTGACCCTTGAACTTTTTGCACCTCTTTGGAAGGAGTGGTGCCAAAGCAGCACAGGCATTGTTGAAAACTTGCCACAAGCCATGGCACAGCCCCACGACTGCCAGGGACTTCTGGCCGTTTTTGAAAATTGGTTGCATTTGTTGAAGGTGAGACAGTGACAACTTTGACGTTGTTGCTGCTTGTCTGCAAATGATGCGGGATGATGCCTGTGAAAGTTTGATCAAAGATGTTTGTATAGCCAACAAATATTGAAACTTGCTATCGTTGTTGCTGCTTGTCTGCAAATGATGCGGGATGATGCCTGTGAAAGTTTGATCAAAGATGTTTGTATAGCCAACAAATATTGAAACTTGCTATCCCAACCTGTGGAAGCACCATGTTGGCACAGTAACCGGCCTTCATTAATGATCGGCCAAGAGAGAGCTGGCAATCACCAACGACCAAATTGCAATGTGGACAAATTCAAGGGAGGCATGCCAGTGGGGCATGCTTTGAGATTCGCAGGCGTTTGCTCAGAACAAGTTTTGTGGGCGACATCTATTGCCTTCAAATGCAGATGTTGCCGCAACCTTTCCATCCTTATTGTGCTGTCCTCTTGATCAGAATCGTATTGTCTTGTAATTTTGGTCACACACACATACTCTGCTTGTATCACGCTTGCAATGTACTTCTACTAAGCATATCCCAATTGATGCTGCCCATGGTGACCCGTCACCACCCTTTCATCCAGTAGTAAATGTCAGGTGCCTCTGCATTCACAGTAGTGCATCCCTGACATCATTCAGTCCCACTCCTCATCGAAGTGGTTTGAGTTCTGCAAGCATGCACCAACAAGCATGTGCCTGATGTCTTGCTGTAGGCTAATTCTTTCTCTACAACTGCAGGTTGTTCATTTGTTTTTGACGTTTGGACATGGGAGCGATGCAAGGGCTCTGGAGGTGGTTCCCGTCGTGTGCACTGCAGCACCAACACTGCTGCAGGTCCGATTAGCTCCCTGCACTGTTGCGTTGTGAGTGTACTGATGTATTGGCAATGTGCACAATACATCATTTCTGCATACTTTTATACTTCACAACCAAATGTTTGAGTGTGCAGAGCATCGCGGCTTCATGGTCTCTTAATAGTCCATGGAATCCCTGAAGAGTTTGCTTGCCATGCGAAGTAATTCCTGCCTTGGATGGTCCATAGCTGATTGCAGGAGTGCAGTTGTAGGGCATTCATTTGGACCAACGGATTTTATTCAGTCCCATGGAAATCTGCCTTGAAAACCAGTTCACACAAACACCGCCCATACATTTTATTGGCAATGTTGGCGTTTGCTCACCTGGACAAAGTTGCATTTCCTTTGTCAGAATGACAGGTGGTGGTGAAGCTGATGTTGAAGCTGTTTGCAATAAAGCTTGCTAGATTTGGGCAAAGTGCTTGCCTGGCTGGTGATCATTTCGACTGTTCTTCAGGTTCTGCAGAGCCTGATGGCAAACAAGCCGAAACAGCCAGCCTCTGACAACCAGCTTCATTCAGTCCTGGCGAAAGGGGTAGCAAAGGTTGCCAAATTGCTGACAGCACTGCAGGAAGTGCATCCTTGGTAAGTGGCCACACACGATTGGTGCACTATTGCAGTGTTCATTTTCTGAACATCTGTGTGGTACACCAGTTGCATCATTGATTGCAGTTGCCAGGACACGAACAACAAACAGAATCCTACCATTTTGGGGGTCAATAAAACATGGTGGTGTTGCTGCTGAGCACTCCTGCAACATCCTCTCCAACCATGCATACTCTTCGACCATTTGTGCAGGTGGCACCAGATGCATTATTTCACCCACTAGCCAGTGCAGCCAACGTGCAATGAGTGTGCACGGAGCAGCAATGGCTGCATCAGTTGTAACCACAGCATACAGACACTCTGCATGGCTTTGTTGCCAGCGCTTATTGATCGGAATACTATTGATTGATTCTTTTTGTTTCTGTCATGCATTTTGCCCCCAGGTCGCTTGCCGACTCAGGAGCTCTGCTTGGCAGTCTCAAGTTCTTTGTCAGTCACCTAATCGAAGCAGAGGCCAGGGGGGAGCCCCTCTTCGAGCGTCATCTTGTGCAGGCCTCCAAATTCATAGTCAACTCATTGCAGTGTAAATCGTACAAGGGGAGCAGCCAGGGCTTGGCAAGCTCCGACAAATGCAAGACACAGGTCAGTGCAGTGGGAAGGGTAACGGGGTGGCAAGCCACAAATCAACAATCTCAAACGAAACCCAGGCCATGCCCTGGGCACTGCCTCCCAATCAGAGAACTGGATGTTCTTTCTACGGTGTTTGAGATAGTTGGTAGACAAACGCTTGCGTATTAGTATTGCGCTTAGTATTGGCCATACAGCTGGAAACACCTGCTGTGGGGCTCGAATATTGAGCTGTGGCAAGGAATGAGAAGGAGAACTGTTCATCTCTTCAACGGTGCAACAACGGAACAGCTGTTGCATGTCTGTTGGCCATGTCTGGGACAGCCACAAAGAGATGGTCAGCATCGCGAAGAGGTTGGAAAGGAAGACTTGGTGTGTCCCAAAAGGGGACTGCCAGAACAGCTCTGAATTTTATCATGCTCCAGCTGTTGTGGAATTTTAGTCCATCGCCTCGGCAGCTCAGCATCGGTGTCACAAAAACTGAGTGCCATGGCACGACTCAATCCATATTAGTGTTCAAGTGCAAACATTCGTTCTCGCATTTGGCTTCAGATGCCAAAACAAAGGCAAATCTGCCCTTTTTCCCCTATATGCACTCTACTACACACATCGATGGTGGTGACTGCTTGCATCGAGTCACGTGTGTTGGCACATTGTTTTTGAATGTCATTTGAAATCAGGACAAAGTGAAAACAGCCACACTTTGAACTGAAAAAATGAACGAATGCATCCTTACAGGTTTACAAAGGTACAAGAAAATGTACCATTGTGCCCCTGTTAGCATCTCAAACACCCAAGTTCATGGAATGTGTCGCACAATGCAATATTCACTTCTATACTGCCCCGGAGAGAAGCTCCTGTACAATTTTGATCTACTGTTGTGAATATACAAGTGTTCAGTGATGACTCACCATAAAGTCATGCAGGTCTGTGTGTCACACCACAGGTGCTGACTTGTGAACATTAGGGATTTTGTGGCAGGGAGATCGCTTGAAGGGCATGGCTTCACAAGTGCAACAGCCCCTGCAGAGCTTCTGGCGAGATGCACATGCTCAGGCACTTTGTGAGGCTCTGGTCCACAAGTACTTTGTACTCACGGTACGACTGCCATTTCCAAGTGTGCCTCATCGAGGCAGGAATAATTGGTGCTGCTTGTGCTCACCAGAACGTCACAAGCTGTGGCCTGTCATCAGCGAAGTTGCGTTGGGCAGTTTGGCCCAGGACTGACACACAATTCTGAACTAGCAGCATCCAAAACTTCACGTAAGCATGAATTTGTTCTGTTGCGATTGTTGAGTCGCTGTCCGGATGAGCCTGCCTTCTGCAACGATTTGCTCTTGATACTGCAACAGCAGGTGCTGTTGACTTTGAAACACATTTGAGAACTGCTGCATTTTCAGCTGTTGTGTATTCACAGTATTGCTGCATCAGGGCACACTATTGAGCAGAGCACTTCCCAACATGGTCCATTGTCTTGTACCAGCACTATCTCGTCAATTTTAACTCGCCAAAATTCTGGAGGGGTGTGTGCACTGTTTGTCTCGCTTATCACAAGCGGACATGCTGTTTTTTTTGGCTTTTTTTCCAAAACAGTGGGAATATAATGCACGAATGGATCTGGTTTGGGACTGATTGGCTGTGCTCCTTGAAAAGGCAGCAGATCTGGAGAAGTGGGCCTCTAGTCCTGAGGACTTCTACCATGGAAATGATGGTGGAAACACGTCTGAAAATTTGAGGGGGAGCATGGAGTTGCTCTTCAGTGTCCTCCTGAGGGTAGGCCTCTCACTTGCGGCTTGTGTCTCTTGCACCTGCTCTGCATTATTTCTTTTGCATTGCGTTTACTTCGTTTATCAAGAGTTGACAAAGAGAAACGGGCCCTGCCTCCTTGACAGGCCCCTTAAGTATGTCAGGACCAGGTCTTTGAAGTTAGTGTATGTCTCCCCATGCGGTTGGAACATCTGCAACTGACTGTCCACAAATCATCTCTGCCTGCAGGATTACTCATCGATGGGACGCCAGTCATGGGAGCATAATTGGATTGCCCTATGTTTGTTTGTTGCCCTTACCATAAGCTGATGCCTGTCCTCACCAACAACCCTTGTGTTTGGAATGTTCCAAATAATATCTTGGATGAAACTGGTCTCAATTATGTTTGCTTGTCAGTGTGTGACCAGCTTACCCCATTTTGAGACACAGAGATGTTCCTTGTAGGGAATCATATCTGACTCTGTTTCCTTAGCGATTCGCCCAATTCCATCCTGTGCCAGTGTTGATTGAAAATGCATGAAATTTAACTGCAGCGAGTTTGCCCATATCGGCAGCAGTACAAACTGTCAGCATGGATCGCCGCCTTGTTCATGTAGGGGGCAAGAGCTCCCAGCAGGCCTGCATTCATGTGATTGTCTTTCTTGCACCCGAGCAATTGTTCACATCCAGGCCTTTGACCAAGATTCGATGCGCTGGTGTCACCTGCATTGCCAATGTCTTGTTCTACTGTGCCTTATGCCTGCAGACATACAGGGAACAGTTGGCTCCTGTTGTTGCCCAGATGCTGCACAGCGCACCGGCTGTCAGTTCTGCACTGGAGCCTGTGCTCGTCAGAGAGGCAATCTACGCTGCTGTGTGCATAGGATCATCAGATCTGTACGACTATGTGGACTTTGGGAGCTGGTTCAGGACAGCACTCATGCAGGTAATGTGTGTTTTGGCTGTCGAGCTTTGCTGATCAGCATCCGTGCATGCAGAAGGAGCTCACACACAGTCTGAAGCCCCATTGAGCACCAGTCTGTGGGTTGTGATGTATTTTGGTAAGAAGCCAAGCCGCACATTGGTGCAACTCCTCCCGGCAGAAATGTGTTGGGCTCTTATCAGTGTTAGTGCATTGTGCAGAGTCCGAGTACCCAGCAGCGAGTATGAAACTAAAACAAGGAGCATGCAATGAAGCAAGAAAAGCAAGCTCAGACAGCTTAACATCAGCACAGTACTAATCCCGCTCAGCTGTTGCCGCAGGCAACAGCTGTTGTTTGTACTATCTTGTATGAGTCCGTTTCCTTTGTATTTGCCCAGGAATTGGGGGACACCACACCTGCCCACTCGCCTCTGCGGAGAAGGGCGGCACTTGTGGTATCCTCTTGGGTTTCAAAACTCTCTGAAGGTGACCGTGTCCTGGCATACAAACTGCTGGTGGAACTCTTGGCTGAGGCAGACATGTGCCTGAAGCTCTCAGCTGTGAAGTCACTGCGCGAGCTAATTGACGACTGGGACTTCAAAGAAAAGGCCTTTGAGCCATTTGTGTCTCCTTGCTTGGAGCTCCTATGTGCAGCCCTGCGATCTTCTGAAGAACTCGACACACATATTCAGGTGAGCTTTATAATTCTGTTTCAGCAGACCCCACTTGCTAGGCTGTACGGAAGCACATTTGGCCTTGCCAATGAGCCCACCAAATTGTTCAGAGTGGCTTGATGCAGCAAGGTAACTGAATGTAGTGAATCACTTGGTTTGTGACAGCTGGGTGCACATCAAGGGGGCCTGCACATGGTTGTTTGAAAGCGACTCAAAAGATCATCGTGGGGAGGGCTGCTGCAAAGAATGACCTGTTTCATATTAGCCAACTGCGCAATGTTTTGGTGCATCAAGGGGCGTGCACGTCCAGCATTCGATTAATGGCAATGTTTAATCTTCCATTAGGTTTTGTCCTGAGCTCACTCTGGAAATAATCTTCTTCCCAAGCAATCTTTCCATTTGAAGCGTTTGTGTGCAACTCGTGTCCCGACGGCTTGCTGTACTTGGAAATTCTGGAATGCCTAAATGAATCCGCCTGTTGTGGCCCTGATCTCCTTCTGTTCTGTTTAGGTTTTCAGCCTTTTCAACCTCATCATTGAGCGCATGCTGGGTGACATTAAACAGCTTGCTCCCAGCCTTGCACAATTGCTGCCTCACATCTGGGAGCAAGCACAAGAGCAGAACCTGCTGAGAATGCAGGTTGGTCTGGCGGCAGCACCCAGGCTTGTGTGCAGCAGCTGTTAGCCGGCAAACTGACAAGCAGGATAACAAGCTGCATTTGCTGACCTGGTGTATGTGGCGACTCTCACTTGTACAGTGAGCATTGGTGAAGACCATGCCAAGATATTCATGGTCGAATTACATTCAGCTTTGAATCGCAATACGTGTGGAGAGAATATGTCTATCCAGTGAGTGTCGATGAGTGTTGCACACCATGTATCATACTGAAAAATACACAACTGCGCACCATCTTTTTCTTATTGAGGCGACAAGTATCCATTGGTGTGTAGCAAGGGTAGTGACGTGTTGTGATGTGAAGAGACAGGAAGAACTAACTTTAACAATCAATGTTTTGGATGAAAATCTATGGAAATACTATTTTGTACCCAATTCAGTATTGTGTGCCATTGTTGGCCTCACCAGGAGGCAAGCTCTTGTGTTTTGTCTGATAAGGTGTCAAATACTTTTGTTACAAATTGGCAAACACAGCTGTCACACTTGCACCGATGCTGGGCATAAGCCTGCCTGCACATTTCTCAGATACGAATCCCATAAATGTGAATATTTGAATTTGTGAGTGTGCTTGTACAGGTGTTGATTGCCTACCAACATCTGATCAATGCACTGGGGGCGGATTCTCCCTCAACATATCAATGGGTGATACCAATGATAAGCCACTCAGTGAACGTGGACCACCCAGACTCACTGAACTTGATGGAAGATGGCCTGGAATTGCTACTGGTGGCATTGAGAAATGCACCAATGCACACTGGCGAGCCACTGCTGGAGGTAGTTCAACAGCTGGGAAAAATTTTGGAGCGGTCTGCAGGTGGGTCAAGGCTCTTGTGTGCCACCATATATTGCAGCTGTATCTAGCCCATATGTGGTATTTCTCTGGTACTGACTTTCCAAGCGTGGAACTTCTCACCAGACCCTTTGTTGGGTGTGTGAGCTAAGGGTGTGTGGCATGCTTTCCTCACCAGCACAGTGCATGAACTAAATTTGGGCAATGCAAACTTCTTACGCAGAGCAGAATTGACAGCCCAGAAACTGCCTTTCTTGTGGCTGTTATTGGATCGTATGACTCTTAGGTCCCAGCTGATTCGCTGGTTGGCATGAGAACTGTGAAAAATGCTTTCAACAGGAATGCGAGCATCTGCGTTGGTATTGTCCTTCCCTCTGCCCATTGATCGAATGTGTTTAAATGTTGACTGCAGAAATGGTGCCTCTATTGATGCGTATCATGTCAAGCTGCATACTGCTTGGTGGCGCTTCACTGCTCACTCGATATGGCAGTGCCTTGTCTGCCATGCTCTGCAGTCTGATTGGCAACGTGAGGGACAGTGCCTATCACCTCATCTGCCGTGTCTTGGAAATTGCCCTGAAAGTAGCCCCAACAGAAGCACTGCAAGCTTTTGAAGACCCCATCAGGCAGCTTCTGGGTGTCTTGATGTCCATGAGCAGGGAGGGCAGTTTCGATTCACTTGTGTTCGCCCAAGGGTGCGTCGTCTTTGGACGCGTACTGCTCATGGACGTGCAGTACTTTTGGCAGTTCTTTCAGAAGTCGGCCCAGAGTGGAATGTTCGGCGATGCTGATGGTGGGTGGTGCCCAAGACGTTGCCATGGTTGTGCACATGTTGCACTTGACGTTCAGTTTGTGTGGACCCTGAGGACACACTTGTGGTCACTTGTCCTACGTTTCTAACTGGTGCTGGTATATGGGTTTCCTGCGCACATATCGCCTTTTTCGAACCTTCCACATCTTCTGACATCCTTAAGTATCTGTTGGATATGCTTGTCAGCAGCATCTGCAGTTCAGGTTGCTTGTTTTGGAAACGCAAGTCTCTGCATCAGCCATGCATAAGCATTTCACAACACGTCCATAAAATTGTGATGACTCAGTCGTGAAGTTCCCGGTCACACAGCGCAGTCCGGTCCAACGGCCTTTCTGTGGATGCAGGCGCCAAGCTGATGATGGGATTTGTGGACCTGTGGATGGACCAGTTTGACGCCCTGCCATCTGAGGCAGCCCGAAAGCTGTGCGCCCTTGCACTCTGCAACCTCCTCACGATCCCATGCCCCCAGGTTTTGGGCCAGTTGGGCCCCATTTTGGCATGCATCACGGCCGTGTGTCACGAGCTCGAGGGCGGCGTGCTGCCACAGAGGCAAGTGGACGCGTCGGGGGACAGGTCGTATGGATTCGCCAACGAGTCCATGATGCACGAGCAGCTGGGGGTTGCGGCCATCGGCTCGGAGGATGCGCAGCCAGAAGTGGACCGCAAGAGAGAGGTGGGTGTGGATGCCCAACTGTTGGTGACAGTGAAATCTGAAGTTGCGCGCTCATGTAGTCGCTACTTGAATCTTCGTTGCTTATAGATGCGCACAGTCTCAACCTCAGAATCTCAAATTGACCTGAATTTTGCATGCTGTGTATGTTTTTTATCAGTGTAAAACTTGCGCAGATTTCTGATATGTTGCGTTTTGATCGCAAGCCGCACAACGAATCGCGTTTGGAATTTCTTCTGCAAGCAGCCGTGTGTGATCGGACGGCCGTGAGTCTTGGCTGAATTCAGTTGGCGCTTTGTTTGCTCATCTGTCTGCAGGTGTACACTGCAGACCCTTCCAACAGCCTCAAGGTGTCCCAGTATTTCAAACAGAAGCTGGCGGAAGCCGGCAGTGTGCATGGTGCGACATTCAATGCAGCAGTGTCCTCGGTTCACCCCACTCTGGTGGAGCAAGTGAAGAGTATCGTGGGAACCTGAGGTGTCAGCCTACCGAATTTTTCCTACATTGCTGCCAAGGGACTGGTCACAATGGATGCTCTTTGACGTGGATAGAATTAGAAGAAATGCGCCAGCCATTCTCATGACAGCAGGCCGCTGCCTGGCCTTCAGGGACCTGGTGGCAGATGCTGTCCCCTTTGCGATTTGCCTGTCGAAGTTCGTGAGGCTCATCAGTGCTGTGTATGGAATGCGGGCCTTGGACGAATGTGACTTGCTGTCAAGATTCGGACCATTGGAATCGGATATAGGTTGCCTGTTATTGCTTTCACCGGCGTGCCCCAGGGCTTCGTCCACCATGGCAGCCTTCACGGTTCGTGTGCTGATCGCATGCCGATAGCAGGCAACAGCGCTGTGCACCACATGGATCCGTGGCAGGGCGAGAGTTGGAAATGTGTCCCCACCAAGGACGAAGCTTGCCCATTGTTTCCATTGCATACGCTGCAGAGTGCCCTGCGAGAATAGGATGCAACGCCCTCCCTGAAGGTGAGATTGCAGTGGCGGGTGCAATTCGCCACAAGGGAGCTCCGGCGAAAATTCTTCCTTTCTGGACGCACCCACACTGCATTGGGCTTGTTTGCCATCTGTGCCCAACGGCTCTCACTTGGAAGAGTCCTCGCAAGTTGCACCACGCATTCTCAGCCTTTGAGCTGTTGCGAGGTCGTCTTGGACAGCCTTTCCATTTGCCTCCACACGCTGGCCTCCAACAGTTGCTTGCGCATGGTTTGGCTTCCCTCCCTGAGGCGTCTGGTTTCTTTTCTGACGGCTTGCATCTGTACACATCGCACCAGCAATACTTCGGTAGTGCTTCAGAAATACAGCAGTACTTCAGCAGTACTTCAGAAGTAATCCATTTATCAATGAAGCTTCTCACGAACGCGGGAAAAAGGATTTGGTCGCAGCGCCAGCAGCCACCACTCCCAGCGCCCGCTGTTCGTCACGGCGTCGCGGTCTTCTTGCATGGCGCCATGCCCTAGTTCACCAACATTTGTACAGGGGACGAAGTTGGGTCCAAACGTGCTAAATTCCATGCGGGCCATGGCCATGACCTAGCCACCGTTCCCGCTTTTGCGCCAACAAGCTGCAGCTCGCGGGGTGTTTCTCCCCACAGGTGGGGCTCAATTGAATCGCGGGGACCGTCCCTTGGCAACACACGTCCACACATTTCATGCGACACCTCAGGGACGCTCTCGACGCAGCTTCAAGCTGCGTCACCGATGGTGACAATGGGAGCCGAAGGTCTTCATTTTTGAGCACAAGTTTGCTGGAATTGAGTTTTGAGCCATCAATGGGGTAACGGCACGATGCATATTGTGCCGTAGAGGATGTTCATTGCTCGATATCAGCTTCGCAACAAAGTGCTAGCGTGGAATGCCCCCTTCGAACTGTTTTGACCCGCGTCGCTGTCGACAACAGTGTGCCAGCGCCGTAGACGGCACCAAACCGCCTTCTGAACGCATTATCTTGAACAACAGTTGTCAATTATATTATCTGACTACATGTTCAGTTCAAATGCGCCATTTTCCACCTGTGCTGTTGGGACACCTTGGCCAATTTTTTGGCCGAAATGGCGCCGCACCTTCGCCCTCACGGCACGCGCCTCTGCCTCCGCCTCCCTCGCCCGCTCGTCCATGATCGCTGTCCGTGTCTCCCACTCCCTCAGGCGGCCCTCAAGGTCGGCCTTCAATTTGGCGCAGGACTCCTGCACTGCCATCTGAGCCTCGGCCACCTTTTCGGCCTGCGGCACAAAAAGGGCACAGGAACACCCCGTCAGAAAAAGTTGTGGGCAACGTGCTACGAAGTGCTTGTCCTTGTGCCGATTTGCCCAATAAAAGAGAGTGAAAAGCCTTGCCATGGACTCGCGGCGCAATGGTGGCGCTTTGTCGTCCTTTGCCAACGTCTTAAAACATGTAGATACCCTGTGGCTGCACAGTACTCAGCATAGTTTAGGAGCACCTCTGGGAATGTGCCCATGGGGCCAGTACTTTGGCAACGGACTCGGCAGCGAACTTCCCCAATGTGCATGCCTTCGGCAGTTGACAAACTTTGCTCATGGCTCGGTGCCAATTGGAGAAAGTGTACCCCTGCAGCCCCCTAGGCGATACCGGACTGTGTATCACGTTCCATGTGGCTGGCAGCGTGCCAGCTGCCACACAGATACCTACTGACAGAATACCACCACCGGTGCTGTACCGTTCTGCTATGTATGCTATCGGCACCAAATCGCGGTATACCAGGGCCAGATATTGCATACCCTTATTCGCCGGGCACAATCCATATTGGGGCCAATACCTGGCGGGCACAGTGCATGCCAAGGGCTTATGAAGCACATCAACACACAGACCGTGTTAAGACACCACCAAGTCGAGCACATGCAACCCCTCTTTCCGCCCCAGCCACCCCAGAGTCGTGAGCCCCAGGGCCCCAGGGCCCCACCCTCTGCCTCTCCGCCTCCGCGAGGTTCGCCCGCATGTGTATGTTCTCGTACGACGCCCGCAGCGCGTCCTCGAAGGCCCGGTTGTACTCCCGCCGTATCTTGAGCAGCAGCGGCCGGTAGGTGGTGAAGGAATGTATGAAGGCGTCGAAGGCCTGGCGGTAGGCGCCGCAGAAGAGCGAGGTGGCGCTCTGGCTCGGCTTGTCGGGGCCCAGCAGCCGCGCCGTCTCCCTGGACGCCTGCAGCTTTTCCACCAGGAGATTCTCGAGGCGCTGGAGCACGCGCGGATTGTGGGGGGGTGGCGCCTGCCGGCGGCCGAGAATTGAAAGGTTGCGGTGCGTGCTGGGCATCAATGCTTGCGTAGACTGTGATCTAAACTTTGTCAGGCTGTCTGCCACTGGTGGCTGCTGATGCAGTGGCCCAAGAAGGAGCACATGGTCCCAGTTGTGTGATACATGGCGAGTCATTGAACACGAATGCCTGTTTCGTGTTGCTATTTATGGCCGAGCGCCATTGACAAGAATGTGGAAGCGCATTTCTGACGATGTGTGTAGTCCGATGTGTAGTGTTTTCGCCGGTCGCTTTCATCAACGCGGGCACAAAATGCACAATCAAGGATTTCTAAGCGCATCTAGGCTACCACGGCGGGGGGCCGATTTCACGCCTGAGTGGACCGACCCTGTGCACTGTCTGGTCGTCTCACGATTCGCAAACAAATTCGCGACCCTCAAGCAATTCCACCCCTCCCCAATGGATTCCGCAATCCCCGCGGGCGTCCTTCCGACAAACCATGCCCGGACATCCTCCTCTTCCCCGCCGCGTGCTCCTCCACCCATTCCACGCAGCGGACTGCTTGCCTGATCGTCGGGCGTCCGCGGCCCCGCGTAGCACGGCCTTAGACTCTCCAGGCCCCCGCTCTGCTTAAACAGAAGCGGAACATCGGCGTCGCTGGCCCTCAGCGCCCCTGCGCACACCCTCCTGGGCGACAGGTCGCGCGTCACCCTGCTGCCGGTGACGGACTCTCTGGCGGGGTGGTACGGGAGCGAGTCCGGGTAGGCACTGCCCACGTGGCCTTCCTTCTGGGCGGGCGCCTGCCCCGATCTGGCCAAAGGAACGCGCACCTCATGGATCGTGCAAGCTCGTGGGGTCAGGGTTGCAGGTGGAAGAATAATGGGATCTTGAACTGTGTGACAGCTTTGTCAGAATCCCTGTGCTGATCATGACCTGGAAGGTCTTTGTTCCACAGGGCGATGCACAGAAAAATTATCTGTCAACGTGACCCAAGAAGATATTCATAACCATCTTAGTCTTCATCATCATATTCCTGTTTACACGATAAGGTAATGAGGCTTCCTATTTTGCCCGAGCAAAGCAGTGTCCACGATCAGTTCATACAAATCTAATGTGCAACAGAACATAGTCATCATCTTCATCATTTTTTTAGAACAAGACAATGAGGTAGCCGTGAGCTTCCTATTATGCCCGAGCAAAACAGAACATAGTCACGACCACACAAGGTATGGCCGCGCTGACTCGCGCGTGCTAGCAGTAACGGGGGTCCAGTTATTTTGCAAGATTCTAAAACGGCTGCTAATTGTGTGCAATCGTCAGTTCTTCATCAATGATATGCTTGCCCATACTCTTCTTGCAGATCCGTTTGCCCCATTTTCGCGCTACAGCAGCCTTGAAGGCAAGCTTCCACCAGCCAACTCAAAATATGCCGAAAGGATCGCTCATCCTCTTCACAAGCAGTGCTTCAGCAGCAGTTTAGACCCCCACCACGCCATCTTGCTGCGATAGACAAACATCAACAAGTGTAAGCCAGGAAAGGGAAAGCTGCTCCTCGCGCAGGAGGCTTTCCAACGAATCTTTTTCCCATATGGAAGATTTATCCTGGCGATTTTCAAGCACTGCTGTGCACGCGAAATTGCAATTGGCACACAGCTTCATCGCACATATGTTTTCGTTTTCGCAGCTGCTTGCCTTGACATTACATTTCCTTGAGGAGTAACAGCTGTTGACCCGAGTCAAAGGTCAACGATGTCTGGAATGAGACAGCCGACACAAACCCAACCATGTTTGGGGCCACGGTTGCAAAGGCGAAGATGGCGTCGATGGGCCATTCTGGGCGGCATCCCATTGCTGTTGATTTTGTGTGCCGTCGGAAAACCAGGGCGACTCGTGCAGTTCGCCCACCCTTCGAAGTTTTCCCGGGTCGCTGCCATGGATGACGTGGCCTGCTTGGAGGCATTGCGAACACCTGACAACAGCGCTACTGCGCATGGGAAGCAGAGACTGTGCCTCCTTTTTCTGGCTCGGTTCATTGCGGACGGAGACATCCAACTTGCCGATGAAATGTTGAGCCATCCGGCAAGGGTGATCATCTGTCTTCGCAAAGGCATGCTCTGGGTCGCAAACAGGGCCACTGTGCAGGAATCGCGCAATATAGGGAGCACTAAAGGGATATATCACCTTTTTGTCAGTGGTGCGCAGATTGGGACAAAATGTCAAATGAAAGATAGGATTTAGGATTTAGGAATATGCCTTTTCTACCGGCATCTAATTAATGTTTGACCCTTTCCCTATATGGGTTATCCTAACATTGCGATGACCCACATCCGGGAAGGGCCAACAAATAATTATTTGTATTTGTGTCCGCTTATAAGCGGACCTGAAAGAGAAGCTTTCATGAAGTACCCAATGCATCGGGAAGGCTTGGGAACGAGCTCTACATGCTGGGGAATGAATGATATTTGGTTTTCTGAAGTCGTTGCTAAAACAGTCCGTGACACAGGCCTCACCTACGTCTGGGCAACCATGATTGGTTCATAGTGCCTGAACAAGCATTGAGGCGCGCATATGTAACTTCCCATGCCACACCCTGGTCATGGCCACTGTTCAAAGAAAAGGACAAAGGGGCCACTGCCGCCACAATGAGCACCACTGTTGTCTCAAAGAACAATCCACTGTCGCAAGGAGGACTGGTTGGCACTATCACATGAGGCCTGGCGGCGAGAATTCTCGCATTGTAGGCCAAAGTGGCAGGGCATCTAAGTATAGGTCCATAACTCGGGGCCACTGCCAACCATGGCGAAGCGCAAGTCGGCCACAAAAGAGAGCGGTAACTTTGCCATGTCTGGAATCTGGACATGTCTGGATATTGGACCAGGCTGGACCCAACAACGGTTTTCAAGATTTAAGAACACTTGCAATTACATATTCTCTTAGCATCCCATGCCTGAACCCCTCCACCACCCTCTGCGTTCACGTCCATTGAGCATCAAGCGCATGAAATTCAAACTAGGGTCTTTCCTTACCAAGTTCTTCCTGCTATACTCCGTTGTGACATTCATCGGGACAGACGGAAAGTTGGCAACCAAATTTTTGTCATCATTGTTCACCCACCCCACAGTGCCTTTAGGCACGCCCACCCCCCATGCGCCAAACGCACTTGCTGGTCACTCTTGGGTTACCACAGACAACGCTGGCACTACAGTTGGCATTGCGCATTACAACGATCCTTGACTGCACCAAGAAGGGTGGTGAACATATCTCGAGCGGACATTCAGAATCATGGGTCGTCCGTTACGTCCATCCCGCATGTTTGGTATGCGCTCTTTCAGCCAAACGTCCCACCCCACATCACGCAAACACTCTCCTGGAATGTCCATGTTCAGCCGTCTAGAATAGCCAACAGCAGTTGGGTCACGTTTCAGCCCCGCGATGACCCTCCCACGACACTGTCATGCCATGTGCGTACCAGTATGGCGCTCATTGCATATCGCTTTCCTGACATGGTTCCTCATGCCTGTTGTCATGTTCTAGGAATGTCCGCTTGTACTTCCCACTTTTGTGCCTTGCTGCCATGAGGCCATCTAGTCAACGCCAGGTACTTCACAACCATTGAACCAAGAAGCAACCCTTGGTTGATGTTGGTGTTTATGCAGCTAATGTTATCATCAGGTCCTCTTACCGCTACTGTGGCAGTGATGGGTCCATGATTGGCAGATGGTTGTATGATTGTGAAGGGATATGCATGTCCACGATCTTCTCGTAACTCTGTTCCCTCAGCTGTGTCCCCCAGCCCATGGCTATGCCCGCCTCTAGCATAGTTCCACCCCACAGACAGCATATCATGTGGCACCGAGGGGTGGGATTGCAGGACTGAACGGTCACATGGCACGTGTGATGAGGTGCACGCGAGCATCGTGGCAGCTTATGTTGTGGCGCGTTGGAATGGCGGCATGATGAGTTGCGCCCAACAAAGGATGTAGAGAAGTCGTGTGAGAGCCACACTGGGCGCGACAAGGTGTGATTGACGGAGGTGGACGATGCACACAAGTTTCGCCAATGCCGCAACTACGCGTTCGCTGGAGTTGCGATGGCGAAGTTGCGACGAAGGCAAGGTAGCGCACTTGTGCAGCGATAGGCGCGTGAGCCACCCACTTGGTTACGAAGTGCTTGCTTGAGTAGATGGTAGTGTCGGCTTGGCCTGTTTTTTGTCGTTCTGGGCGTGGACCAAGCGTTGATGGATTGGCGTGCTTTGTGCCATAGTGATGCCATGGAGAGGTGGCAATGTTGGCCAAGACGTGTGGGATTGTGTATGATTGGATTCTGTTCTGGATCTTGTTCCTTTTGGTGGCTTTTTCAGATGGTGCTTTGGCTCCTGATGTGTTCCTTTGTGATTGCATTGCTTGTCCAAGGCCCCCGCAGATGACGGCTGCCCAAGTGCTTAAGTGTTGGGGCGCGTCGCGGCTTCACTGGCATTCCTGAGTTTCTATGTTCTCTTGATTGGCTTGGTCGAGGTGATGGCACGTCCAGGCCAATGCCACATGTGTGTCGGGGGCCAGTGATATGGCAGTCGCTGGTCCATGATTGACAGATGGTTGTACGACTGCAAAGCAACACGCCTGTCCGCGATCTCTGCATCTCTGTTCTCTCAGTTGCGTCTCCAAGCCCGTGGCCATGCCTGCCTACGACATACTCGCATCCCAAACTTAGCATACCGGTGCCTCTGCGCTTGCTTGGCTAATAAACGATGGCCATCGCAACAGTTAGTAACGTTCTTTCATTCGGTCGGAACATTGCACGACGGTGATGACGATGGACACCAAGTGAGTTGGATTGCCAAGTTCTCGTCATCGGTGAGCTCGCAGGTGGATGGACGAAACTGGACCAGCAGAGACATCTACTGCAACCGTCCCGGGTAAAGATGGGATGGGGATGGTGTGGAGCAAGGGGACAATGGATGTGGGCTGTAGTTAGGTTTAATCCTCACAGCACCTAGAGGCATGGTCCCTTCACATTTCAGACCTTCACCGTTAACTGGCGAGGGCAGGCTATCGTCACGCAGCCAGTGCGGAAAAGCAGCGCAGTTGGCAAAAGAACAAGTCCAGTCGGCGTCGAGATCATCCACAGAGAGTGTGACGTGCGAACGTGAACAGAAAATGTCATTCGCTGGGTCTATCCCAACAGGTCACTGCCCCGACGGGGCTACTGAGGGCGATGGAATCAGCTCTTGGGCGCAGGGCGAGGCTTCTGCTTTCCCGCTTTGCAGCAGGTCCACAGGCCTGCGAGCCTAGCGCTCTTTATCTCTGGCGTCGGTGCAGGGATATACACTCATCGGAGTGCCCCACGGGCACCAGTGGGCCGCCAACAGGAAACCAAGTCCGCAAAGAAGAGCAACACAATGTCTCCGCGTTCTCCTCTCAAGAGTACGCGCGGAAGACTTCAACGCATGCAGCAGCAGTTCGGAGACCCGGCCATGGACAGATTCGCACGTCAGCACCTGGTAGGGGATCACCGACCAGTCGACAGGCTACGGGGCAAAATATCAGGGACAAAGAGCAGGTTGAATGGGCACCTGGGAGGTGGTTCTGTTTGTGACATAGTCCGATGTGCAGCAAGGGTACCTACCTTTGCGCAGACGCCATGACCATCACCACATGCCGAGGCAACAAAACAGCCCAGTTCGACGGCACAGTGCGTTAAGAGACGCAGCCGGAGCACGCCAGGGTGGGCAAGACTCGATTGGTCTCCCCAGTAGATTGGTGGCCAAAGAGAAATGACCAGAAACATTGGAACCAAATCGCCTGCATCGCTCCTCGCTTGTCACTACCTCGGGCGGTGCCTTGTCACTTTGTGGCACATACGACCACAAGATTCAGGCCACCAGACCCATGAACCAGACACAGCGCAGCACAGCGCCAACAACAGGCCACGTCGGCATGAATTGCAACAGCACGAATCTACCCTGAGAAGAGCACAAGCGCCCCCGATTAACTCGCAGTGCAAGTGCATGCGCATGTGACATGTACATGCAGTACATGTCACCAAGCGGGCGTCACTCATCGACGCGTCCAGCAAACAGAAATGGCAAAATTGGCAACAGGGCACTGCACACAAAAAAATGTAGCCTGCTGGCACATCTGCAAATTAAACAGTGAAGCCAAGGAATTGGATTGTCTCCAGAATAGAATACAAGTGTCTTGGGTACCAAGCCATCCGGGTCATGGGCACAACTGCGTGCGACCGAAACCCGGATTCCATGCGCCCCTCGGCTGCCCCCTATGCGTGCAGCCGACGGACCAGTTCGGCAGTGAGGAAGATAAACACCTACGCAAAAGATTTTGGAGCAAGCTGAAATTCCAGAAATCAAACTGTGCTAGGCGCGTGCATCAATCAGATCCTGTTGAGGGGCGTGAGCCCCAGCAGTTCAAAGCATGCACGCTTGATCATCACTGTGGCTTGGCACAGCAGCAGGCGGCTTGCCTCCTGCTCGCTGCCAATCACTTGGCACTCGTGGTGGAAGCCGTTGACGACGTCGGACAGTTCGTAGAGGTACTCGCACAGCCGGTTGGGCAGCAACTCCTGCACAGTCCTCTCGACGGCCTGGCCACAACCAAGTTGACCAAGACATCAGCGAGCTCCCAACTGCGCCAGTCGGTTGAGGTGCCGGTTGGCTGCACTTCGACATCGAAGGCCATGCTGCCCGTGAATTCACCAAGGCAACCAACACAAAAGGGATCCCCATGCCAAAACAGATCAGGAAATCCAAACCTGAGCAGAATATCTAGTGCTTGGCTCATTGCATGCCCCCTAAATTAGAAGTCACATTCCATGCAACAATGTTTGCTTGCATATCGGTATGTGTGGCTGCCGCACCTCTGGGAATCGTGCGAGCTGTAGGGCAAGGGCAAATTCCTTCTCGTGCTCCAAAACTATCTTCTCGTTGGAAATCAGCTCCTCCACATTCCTCCCCGACTTCCGGAATATGCCACAAAGGCGGGCATAGGCGTACATGAGGTACACTGCTGTGTTGCCCTTTGTATTCAGCATCTCGTCATAGGAAAATCGGTAGTTTGAGAGCCTGTTGTTCTTCAAGTCGGCATACTTCACCGCCCCGTAGCCCATGGCGCATGAGGCGTACTCCAAATCTTCCTCTGAAATTTCTTCCCCACGCTCGTCCCAGCGCTCTTTGATGGCCGCCCGGCACCTTGCTTTCGCCTCATCTAGCAAGTCAACCAGGCGCACGACCTGCACAGCAACGCATGACAAGAATGTCAACACATGTATCTGTGTGGGCTCCCACAGAGTCTGGAAGGACACCTTGACAAAAGCAATGCAAAGGATGACAAATGGACACACTAACTGGTATAGTCGCTTGACGACTACAAGAGAACCCCCTTCACCATGCCAGTGCAGCCCATAAGCAGCAAATCAATCCCTGGGCCAAGCTCAATATGTCCAGTCGGTTAACTAGATGGGTAATTGTGCAGTATCATCACAGACAGTCAGTCTGGGGCGTGCACGTTGATCGTCATCCTGGACAAACGATGTTTCATATCAGCACAGCAGCCCCCTCACGGCGACCATCAATCTCCAAGCGTGGTGTCCCTAACTTGCACCTTCAGATCACTCCCTTCCACTAGCATTTCCTTATGGGCATTATCATTTAGGTCAGAGATCGAGAGTGAGCGTTTGAATGAGTATCCTCAGAGTCGTCAGACAGGGGCATTCACTCCTCATCATTCCCGCATGCCCAAAATTGATCGCTTCCAATCAGCCAACACTTGTTGAAACGGCTGCCAACCCAGACCCCACCCCCTCGAAACTCATTGTCACGCTACTGTTCATCCCAACAGTCCAGTTGTCCTTGTAAGTGTACACATAAATTTCTGCCACAAGACTCGCATGCAGCCTACGCACATCTTTCTTCAAGTACAGACTACCAGTGACAATCACCAAAGAGAAGAGGCAACGCAACGCGATATGCGACTGTCCGCAGTGCCAATGCTTGAGGAGACGTGTGGATGCACACTACAAGGGCTATCACTGCAACCAATGGCACTTCATTACTTTAGTGGGTTTTGTCTTTTCCTTGACAGTGTGGGCTTTTCAGCAGTACTTTTCTGGGTGTGGGATCACACTAGCTACCATACAGACTACGATTCGAGCAACAACCCTACGACACTAGCTGGATGCTCCACAACAGATCACAGTCTTCTACTCACAGATCCAGACCGGGTCTTGAACTTCTGGCCATCATCCCCAAGGACGAGTCCAAATGCCACATGGTCAACTTTGGTGCTACCAGCCAGCAAGTTCATCTTCTTTGCAGCACCAAAGAGCTGCTGAAAGTGCTGACTCTGCCCAACGTCCGTGACATAGATGATCCAGTCAGCCTTATCTTCCGTGACCCGGTACTTTAGGGCAGCCAAGTCAGTGGTGGCATAGCCAAATCCACCATCCGATTTCTGGACAATGAAAGGGACCTTGATCTTGTCCACGAAAATGCACTGTCCAGGGGTCACACAAACAACTCAGATCGGCACCAGAAATTCCATTCAAGAAATGATATTCGAGGCTGAGAACATGCTGGGGGAATAACTGGGACAGGACAAGTCGCAACACCTTTACTGCTGATTGCTCCACATGATCTGATACAGCACAATACACTAAACTCTGCACCATCGGGCACCCGGACCTTGATAGAAGAAAACTGAAGGTGTTCAAAACTGGTCAGCAGTAAGCAGCAGTAAATTTCCTTTCAGTGGGCACAAAGACACAACCAAAACAAGCTACCAAGTGCCCTGGAAATGAGCAGCAGCCAGCTCAGCATCACATCAAAGAAAGACTGCCCGTCTACACTGCAACCGACTGCGAAGTGTGGAGTCCACAAAGAAAATGTTGCACTTTGACCAGCCATTGTTTGTACCTGTGCACCTTCACTTTCCTCTGAAAAGCCCCTCTCTTTCAATTCCTCAACAAGGGGTGCAAGGAAGGGATTGTAGAAGCTCTCACCCCTCTCCACCAGCTTGACATTCAAACGTTCATAGATAGCTTCAAATTGCTTCCTGGAGGCTGCACAGATTCGCTTCCATGCTGCTATATACTGGGGATCGCCAGATTGCAACGTACGCACTGCCTGGCGGGAGCGAGTCTTGAAGTCTTCCTCAGCATCAAAACGCGCCTTGGCTGCCCTGCACACCAACAATTCACTCAAACTTCAGCATCTTTATATGTGTGCCCTGTGGACTCGCTGCCCCAGGGGGCCAACATCTGCTGAAATGTTGGGAAGCGACAGGCGACACTTCTGACAGCTCACAAGAGGGGAGGAGGGAGAGCCTTGCAAGCATTGTAAGCAAGAGTTACATAGCAAGACGTGCTGTGCACTAGCCTGGCTAACTGGAAAACACATGCACAAGGAGTCTAACCAAATCCCCTATACACTGGAAAAGACCTAATACACTGAAAATGACCTTATGCCATTTCCACATAAAGGGCTAAGCATGTCCTTCAACAGATAGTACATCATCACACAGATGGCACTGCCAAAGAAACTACTTTCTGCAACACTCTTTCCACCAATGTAGATCATGGCACACAAATTTGAAAGTCCAGAAGTGCAAGCTTGACGTCCATCTGCAGCTTTGTACATGCACCCCACCTGTACAGCTTCTGAAGATCTGCTACATCCTCCTCAGTGCCGCCCTCCTCTCCAAGGCCCTCTGGGCGTGACTCTGACATGTGCTGGATCAGCATCCCAAACTGCGTGCCCCAGTCACCAATGTGGTTTATCCGCAGCACCTCAGCTCCAGTGAACTCCAGTGTCCTGGCGATGGTGTCCCCGATGATAGTGGACCGCAGGTGGCCCACATGCATCTCCTTGGCAACGTTGGGGGAGGAGAAGTCCACTAGGACACGGGCCTTGGCAGGTGGAGGCGCCCATGTGGCAACGCCCTCAGTGATCATCTTCCCTTGCCAGAACGAGCACAGATGCCATTAGTGCCAACAGATGAACTCCCAGACATCGACTTAAATGCACTAGGCAATTATTGCATAATAAGATGATTGCATTCAGAGCACATTTCAATTTGAAACAACCTCTGCAGTGCATGAAAGATCAAAGGCTCAGGGCATGCATCGGGCACATTGAAACGATCAAGATATCTTCAAAGCGGAAATGTACTTCACCCAATGTGACAAAAGATGCGACTACTGCCATGAACTCATTCTGTGGGGCTCTGATTTTGAACGTGCTGGCAAATGGGTATAGGGCCCATACAAGGGTGCTGCAGGCTGCTAGAAGCTTGTTGCTCCTTTCTGGCCGTGAAGATCGTGTCAATCGTCGCCCCGCCTGTTCGAATTCCACTGGGGCGCGGATGGAGGGGTGCAGGTTCTGGCACCGGCCCCCCCGGCTTGGACACGCAGGCCGGCGAGGATCCTGGCAATCTTCGCGGGCCGAGTGCCGCGACGACCTGCTCTGAGAGGCAGCCCCAGCACTCAGTTCGCGAAGATCGCCAGGGTCCTTGCCGTCCACCCCGAGCTCTGAATTGTGAATTCAATTCAGAAACTAAAAAAACTGATGCTGATGGCCAGGCTACCAGCCGGCCGGCGAGGATCCTGGCGATCCTTGCAGGCCCAACGGCGCGGCGGACTCCCGAAGGAACCCCTGCGCCCTGGACCTGCGAGGATCGCGGGGATCTTCGTTTGCATGCATTCCTCCCCCCCTCCAACAGTCCCGCCTGCCCCAAACGCAGCACAAGTCTCAGAATAATTGCAGGAGAGTCTCCTGCCATAGAAAGTGCCGATGACAAAACATTTGAATCTAGCATCGTGCGATGTGTGCGAAGACTGTGCTTTGCATGTACATGGTCTACGTACTTGGTAATTACCTGCAAAACGTGTTTTCATACATGTGCTAGGTAAGGACATGCAAATCAGATTGCCGAGTACTAGGACCTTGACTCAATAGGCAGCTACTAGCCGATCACCATTTAGATTTTCCACGTCACGCCTCACCTAGTCTGTCTGCAAGCCACTCTCGTGACAGTCTGACATTCACAAATCCTGCACCAGCCACACTGCAGTACAAGCACCACAACAAGGATTCAGCAGTATTTTTGCACCATACTCAATAATATACACCTGTTGCATTCTGGAGACAAAAGTTGCTAGCAATTTCAAGCAGATCTCCAGACAAAATCAAAAAAGACCATCGTTGCACCATAGCTGCAAGAACATAAATTGCAGGACACCCGAACTCAAGAGGTGTTCCAATTGCAGGCTGGAGGATGGAGCAACAAATGGACACCAAATACGAAAGAAGTTTGTTTGCTGCATTGCCCCACCTTGCCTCTGCAATCAAAGGACTGTCAGCCAAGTTCCCCATGATAGCATTCGCCACCTCCCTTGGATTCTTTGGGGCACCTTCCTGCAAGCCGACAAGACAAATGAATAAAGCCCAGAGCCTGATTCTCAAACTCACACATGAACATGGATGTGCTGGTTTGCCAACACCAACATGGCCCCCAGCAGGCTAATGGAATTCGGAGCCAACTCGCCGCCATACGTTGCTGCGCTGTTGCCTTAAAGTGTCAACAGATTTCTGCATCAACAGTGCTTCACCTGGCCACTGAAATAAGCCACTGCAAGTCTGTAAATAAAGCAAAGCCCCAAAAGAATAAAAGAACGAGCTGCAGAAGGCCTCCATTCCGCATGTAAATTATAACCCCTCTCACCTTACCCTTCATCTTTTTGAATATGCCCATAGCGACAGGACACTGGTAGTCCCCAAACTTGGGGTCGCAGGGCGTCACTACCATCTCAACGGATTCTTCTGCTCAAGAACAGGCACAGAACATCCAGTCAGAGGCAGAAAGCTCCCCACAGGACGCCAAACCACTCTTCCACATCGACTGCAGGCAGAACAGCCAGGTGCCAGCTTTTCCTACAATGCTTGTGGCATTTGGAAACCACCATTACAGCTGAGAAGGCAGCTGCCACACCACACCCTCCCCTTATCCGTTATGAGGTTCGCCATTAAATCGCATTTTTCACCTACCTGGGAATGCCTTCTTCACCGCAGATTGGAAAATCCCCGCCAGCTCCAGCCGCACGCTCCCAGCTCCTACACAGCAGACAGCACTCGAATATAATTCACGCCACCATCACAACCGGCCATCTTGAAACACTGTAGCAGGACAATGCCGACACACTTGAGCCCTCCCGGCGACTTGTGCCCCATTCGCCCGCACTCGCCGCCAACTGCACGCGCAAGGCAGATCGTCCCAACCACCGCCGCCGCCGCAACAGACCGCTCACAGGCAGGCATCCTAACAAGAAACGGGCGGTCTCCCAAGCAGCTTCTATCAGGCCTCACCCAGGGCCTAACCACGCAGCCAACAACCGCAATTTGAATCAGAAGTTGACTGTCGACATTGCGCGGATAGTTGCCCCGCGCGGCCGAATGCGCGGCGTCGCTCAGATCGGGCATGGGCAGGGGCGCCTCACCTTCCGCCATGGCTGCCGGCGCCGCCTGCCGAGGGTCCGTCGCCACGGCAGCGCAGGCCACGAAGGGAAGGCTCCGCCGCCAGGCGAGGCAGCCGCAGGCGCGGTGCGGATTGCTCGCCTGGTGCACGCGTTGAAACTGGAACGCGGAAACTGCAGTCCGATGCCAGCGGGAGTCAGCCAGGGGTGCCGCCGGCGCGATGCGCCCACAAGTCCCCTCCGCATCACAAAGACACCCCCCAAAATGCAGCGCGCACCGACTGACACAGCGCCGCGCGCCAAAAGGGTAGCGCGAATTGGGCACTGGCCACTGCGCGTTGCAGCAGCATGATGGGCAATGGGTGTGTCCTGGGAGTTGAGCGACGCATGGCACTGGACTGCTGCACGGACGGGGCTCACCTCTTGTGACGGAGCGCGAGTGCGCGACGAACCAACGCATGAACCCCGAGAAATAGTCGGCGGTGACTGTGGCCAGCCGCCTTTGAACCGGCGGCTGGGGCAGGATGGGTGTGGGGGGCTGTGGGGAGGCTGGAAGGGAGCGCATTTATAGCCTTGGGCTTTCATTGCTGATGAGTGGTTTAATGAACGCGATCGAAGACAATGAAATCCGCGGGGTTAATAATGTGGTGAGCAACCCGCACCCAGGCTCCGCAGTGTGTGCCAATACCCTGTGTGCTGGGGAAGCTGTTCGGGAGGAACTGAAACACTTTGGGTCCTGGAAGATGGCTGAAGCACTGGCATGGTGGTGACGCACTTGACCGTGTGGAACACTGTGCATTCTTCTGGTCGCTTGCCTCTAAGATAAAAGCATCGCAAGGGAAAACTGCCTGGCACGAGACGAATGAACAGGTAATCAAATGCATTTGTCCCAGTTGCGCTCCACCTCAGAGAGCAGGTCAGCTAAGAATGGGGTGACCGCCCCTGCAACAAGGTGAGCGTGGATTTCTAGCCACTGTCCAGCATCCATACCATTTGACGTGAGCCGATTGCGGACCATGAAACCAGCAGACAGAGTAACAGAGAATAGGGTGCATATTCCATAACTCGCTCTGGACAGCAGGCTTGCGGCATCCAAGGCACCATGCTCAGTTTTGATTCTTCCCTGTCATGCCATCAGTGCCCTCAAGATGGCCCCAGGCTTGTGTTTGCTGCCCATCTTGCATGCTCGAATGAGCCACCAGTTGCACGGTCACTGGACACAACAATAAAGAATGGACTTATGGTCACAGACAAAATTCCACCTGAATGTTATGTACCATGCACTGGCAGAGGGCTGCCGCAGACACGCGAGGCATCTCCACTGTGCAGAGCCAAGGCCCAGACTTCAAACTGCTTGGTCACATGCCCTCCAAACACTACCAAGAATGAACCATTGCACCAGCACATCCTCTCCAAAACTGTCCTGAACATGGCCGCACCCACATTAACATAATCCCTCAAAATCTTCTCCATTTGTGCAACCTCAAGCAGGGGGACGCATCTATACATACAGGTCAGTTGAAGACTTGGGGCGACTCCTGGCACCAACTTCCTTCAGCTTTGCCAAAATTCGATCAAAGTACTCTTGCAGGTACGCCTCCAGTGTGTTGATGGACGAAGGGTCAATGTCCAACAGCTTGTAGGTTTCCTCCATTGGCGCATCAAAACTCTCGCTGCTGGAAAGCACCTCAGCGAATGCCAGCCTGTCTGCTGCATCCCCCGCCCATTGAAACTGCTTCAAGAAGCCCCTCGTGAGGCGCAGCAGCCACACCGGCACTGATGTGACCTTGGCCTCCGCCTTGGCCAGCTTCTCACACAGGCTTATGACCTCCTGGGTGCTGTACGCCTGGGGCCCAGCTAGTGTGAGCGTCTTGTTCACGGCGTCCTCCGACCTCAGCACGGCGAGCACCATGCGCGCCACATCCTGGGTGTCCAGGTAGGCTGTGCGGATAGTGTCGTTTGTGCCCCACACCTGGGTCTCCTCCAGTATGGGCACAGCATAGTTTCCAATGATCGCCTGGACGATTGAGTGCAAGCACAAAACTTTCCTAAATCCTGCTGGTTACAGCTGTCAAGTGTGGCAAAGCACTGTTCACACACACCATCACTACACACCACACTGTCCACCATTGTTCACACACATGATACAAGGGCTATTGTACTCTACCTGCAACTTCCACAGTATGCTCGGGGCTCTTCACGGTCACAGGCGAATGCACAGGCACCCTGGTGTGCAGTGCCCCATGGGCACAGTGCCAATGAGCATCCCCCACAGTGTTCTCGTTTTGCAGGTCATGTGCGCACAATGTACGGCATGTTCCTTTCTAGGGGGTGCTTCGTACCTGCATGAATCCACACAACCTCAAGATTGTGTAGTCCACGCCACTCTCCTTGAGAAACTTCTCTGTGCAGTTCTTGATGTTCATGAGCGGGACCTCGTTGTGCTTGTCACAGTTGTGAATTGAACAGAACACATACCGCTGGATGCCCATGGCCTGCATGCAAGGGCACAAAGCTGCTGTGAGTCCACAAACCAGAATACCCAATTATACAATGAAGCATCATCCACATGTGTTTTCTGTTTTCAACAATACAAGGGTGCCATAAAACAATTGATGAGCGTACCCTGCTTGTATGTGTCATGATTGGCTGCCCTGACGAAAAGCCTCTGAGCTACTAGTGGATAGCCAAGCACACATTCCATTCAAGCACAGCAAGTCCCTTGTGGTAATGCAGGCCCTGAGTTCACGCCCTGAGTTCACCCCTACTTGTCCACTTTGGGGTAGCAGATATGGGGGGCATGTCTCATGAGCAGCTCCATCACACAAATAGCCTGACAGATGAATGTGTATTTTATCTGCATGCATGCAAGCCTTTACTCAGAGCATTAGTCAACACAGGACCAATCATTTCATGCATACATAATGCAGCTGTTGGGCGATGTGCAACTGCAATAGATGGACTGATCCCCTTAGAGAAGTGGGATTTACACTTTGTGGACCCATGCGGACGAGTGCTGGCACTAAACACTTTGTAGTGTTTGTGCTCCAGGGAATCTGATACACAGAAACAACAAGGCCACAGGAAAACGTGCATGATAAAAGGAACACACAGTTGCAAATGCCAAAGAAGAGGAACCCCAGATAGTGCAGGAGAGCACTGCAGTGGACACACCTGAGCACTCTGTATCAGCGCAACCTTGCCCTCCCAGTCGACTTTTTGGGTTGATTCTTCAGGCCGGGCGGTGGCGCAGTCGATAATGGTATGAATGCCAACCAGTGCAGGAGGAATGCTGGCAGGATTTGTCAGATCCGCCTGCAAGCAAGCGAGACCAAAACGAGGTCACTTTTTGGCCAGGTATTCACATGACCTCCACACAGAGCACCGCAAGACCCCTGGTTTCAAATCGTACAGTTATTTTCCCTGATCCCTAATGTGACTGAAAGTGGCAAAGTCCTGAAAGGTGTGCAATCCACCCTCACTGTGAATCTGCTCGCATATTCCTGAGAGTCCCCCATGCCATGGCCTCTCAAAGATCCTGATACACCAGGGACTACCTTGAGGCAGTGGCCACTTGTCTCTGACATCTCACAGCGCACATTCCAGGCGCATCATGGAGCCCTCAATGCACCCGGCATGCCGTCCAGTGCGACCGATCATCCCTTGAAGAAGACACGAATTGTCTCCCAGCACGAAGCGAACCTCAGTCCAGACGGAGTTATCTCAAACCAATGATTTCGCCACAAATGCTACCCAACACCGGCCCTAACGGATTCCAAAGACACTGGCAATCCCACCACGACCTCTCGCTCGGTCCACGTTTCTCTACAGGTACTTTTTTGGCCTCGAAGCCTGGCCCTCAAAACTCATCCGCCAGGGCGCCGATCCCCAGCCCATCTCCGGGACGACAATCACCTCCGCGGAGCAGCTCCCAGCGGCATTTGTGGCGAAGTCATAGCGTTGGGGATGATCGGCCTAGACTGCAGTTGAACCCTCTTGCGGCAACGACCGCTTTCCCGTCACTGTGCGAAGCTGGGGTCTCCTGACACGGGATCAACAACAAAGAGCTGCAACAGGAGATGGCGCAAATCCTGGTCTCCTTCAAGAGCACCTTCTTGCAGTTTTTCCACCGGCACCTCCCCGGCCCGCTACCGATCTACGGTATGGCAATCCCATGCACCCCTCTCAACAACCGCCGGCATACAACCGCCAAAGGGTCACGTCCGACCCGCCCACCTGCACCGTGGCGGCCCCCCAGTCCCTCAGGAAGTCCGCCGGATTCTGCCTCGGCCTCACGACGCACCGAACGTCGTAGCCCTCGTCCAGCGCCTTGCGCACCACCTGCCTCCCTAGCGTGCCCGTGGCGCCCACCACCAATATGCTCTTCTTGTCGACGGCCTTGCCCTCCATCGGCCCCAGGCTCGTCGCCCCCGCATCTGCGGCCGCCCTGCACGCCAGCGGCGCGCGCCGGCGGGCGCAATCACCCCCTCGCGATGCCGGTCTGGCCTCAATTGAGCCAGGCCGGATCGACGGACAGGGGCATGATCTGTGGCTGGCCGCGCGGCAGGGTCTCGGGTCCGGGCACGCGCGCAGCGCTGTGGCGTCCATGGCGCACCCTGGCAAGACGGGGGGGGTGTGGGGTGGGGCTGGGGGTGGGGACGGAGCCTATGGTGGGGCTCAAGGATAGTTGCGCCGTTGTGGGGTGGTGGTGCGGCGGGATGAGGCGGCGGGCTGACGCGTGCAAAAGGGGCCGCAGCCTGGGCCGGGCGTCGCTTTGGCCCGTGTGGCCCAGAGACAGACTGCGGCCGTTTTGCGGCGCAGCTGCCGCTTTGCGGACTACTTAACTACCGGTCGAGAAATGGAAAGGAATGCGACCAAACGGACGTCGGCCGAGTTCGTTTCATTTTTGTTTACGTTCAGCCCTGCAATTCTGCCCACCCAGGGCACACGCTGAAAAGCAATTACAATCACTTTTCCAGCTCGTCGCACATGCGGCAGATATCACAAACCATGTCCACACAGCCACATATACCCGAGTCCGTCATCCAATGTTCCCACCACAAAATCTGCATCGGTCAGTGCATTCACCCCAATATCAATGTTTTGCCAAATTCCCAACGATCCGGCACCCGTGAGGAGCTGGGGAAGAAACAAACGGGGGGCGGAACACAACACCCGAGAGGGAAGGAATGATGACGGTCAGGCAGGCCGGGCAGGGGCGGCAGGAGACGTCTCGCTGAAGATCTCACAGATTTCCCGCCGCAAGGAATCCGCCCGAACCACCATCCAGCCAAACAAACGGAAATCGTAGGATGTAGGGCGGCGCTGCAAGTCAGCATAGGCCCAAAGAGCATCAGAGTGGGGGGCCCACCAGCCCCAATCACGGACATGGGCCTCGGGCACCAGAATGGAGAATGCAGAAGAGGCCCCCGTGCGCCGGACAGCATGGTGATGATACGGCACACCAGAAGGGGTCAAGTGGACACTCGCCTTAGCAAACCAACGGTGGACATCCTGAAGGCGAGGGGGATGCCGGTCCGAAGGCAGACTGAAGAAAAACTGCTCATGGCCACGACGACCCGGGAGGTGCCCCGCACGGCAAGATGTCCGGAGCTGCACCTAGTGCTGGAACAGAAAGGGCAAGTTCGGGAAGCCCCGAAAATCAAAGGCCCGAATGCGCCACATCAAGGCGCGGGTGGCCTTCGCCTTGTGACGGCGTTCCCGAAAGAAAAGGTGGGTAGGGGCATCATCAGCAGCAGTCGGGACCACCGTACCCAGCCAATAGTCGTCACAGAAAATCTCATGGCCAGAATCCGCCCGCGAAAAAAACAGGGTGTCAAGGATCGAGGACACCAAGGGGCGCAGGCGGTAGGGGTGCCGCTCCGCCAAACCAAGCTCAGCCAATCGGAAAAGGTCAACAGCCGGAAAAGTCACAACAGTCTCGCGATAAGCTGAGGGAGGGGCAGCCACCTTCCAAGCACGTAATAACCGGGCCGTCACAACATCATGGGCGCACCAATCGGGGACGCCAGCCCAGGCATGAACTGTGGAGATCGCAGACAAATACGTGCTGGCATTGCCCACCGCGACACGACCCTCGGCCCGCAGAAACAAAACATAGGCATAAATTTGGTCCCGCGAGGCGGGCAAGGCCCGCCACCCACGAGCGGAACACATGCGCGAGTATTTTTGAAACTTGCGCCAAATCGAAGCCCGACCCGAAACAGCATTTGATTCCACCAAGCTGAGAACCACAGCCATACGTTCCTCCAGACTGAGCTTGCCCATGGTGGAGAAATCGGTCACCGAAGCTAACTCACGGAGAATCTCCATCGTCAACGCGTCACTCACCGGAAGGGCGAGGGGGGCCGCGGGGGGCGTGAACCGGAACGTGGGAGCACCCGGACAGCCATGATCGTCCACCGAGTGCAGCCCATCGGGAGTCCGCCGGTCCGGCCAGCCATAAAAAAATCGGGAGATGGCGAAAACTCCCGGATCGCGGCCCCGAGACGGGTCAGGGGGCGGAACCACGGGGCCCCCGGCCACACCGGTGCAAGCACCGTCGCCTCGATGGATGGGCATAGAAAGCCGTGAGCGTCTGGTGGGTTACCAGTGGGTAGCGTCGGTGGGCGAAGGCATCGATCCCGGTGGTGAAAGGGCACCACCAGCGTGAATTGAACTGGGGCGTACGGCGATTCTCGGTGTTGGCGAAGCGGTCCATGGTGTACGGACCCCAGGTCGCATCCAGCTCCCGAAATATCCTGGGGTGCACCGTCCAATCCTCGCGATCCAGGAAGCGGCTCAGCTCGTCCGCCACCAGGTTGGCGGTGGTGGGAATCCACACCGGGTTGAGAGAGATGTTGAGAGTCGAAGTCAGAAAGAACACCTTGCGTAGGGCAGCCATCAGGGGGGTGGAAGCTGACGTCAGCTTGGCGAGGACGCACTGAACGACCTGACTGTCGGTGTACAGGTTCACCCGCCGCCCCGAGAGTTGCCGCCGGAATGACTGAAGAGCTTGCGCCACCGCCGTCATCTCGAGCACGTTTATGTGAGAATGACGATCGGTCGCCGCCCAGAACCCCCGAGCCAAGACTGGAACCGGACGGGAAGACGGGTGCTCGGGTGGGACTGTCAGAGTCGCTCCCCACCCGTACAGGGAACTGTCCGTGTGAACTGTCGCCGTCGCCGGAGGCCGCCAAAGTACTGAGGCGGAAGTCCGGGGTCCCAAATGGGCCCAAAATGCCAAATCCGTCAGCGATTGGCGAGAGAGGCGCAGCGTCCCCTGCCAGCTCGTCTTGGTCGCCAGGTCGTCGTACAGAGACCGCAGGAAGAACCGGGCGGCCGGCACTGGGAGCGAGAGGCTCTGGCCGCGGCCGCAGAACCGGGTGAGAACCCGGGCCTTGAGCGGACGGCGGCGATGGGCAAGCAGGCGGGCGGCATCCGCGTGGAGCTGGGCCACCCGATCGGGCGGGGCAATCACCAGGCCCCGCGCCATGTCGAGGAGAACGCCCAGGTGGCGGATCAGGTGAGTGGGTTGCCACTGGCACTTGCTAGGCTTCAACACGATGCCTAGGGCTTGGAGAAGAGTCTGTACCATGGTGCCCCACGTTGCCGTCGCCGCGTCCCCCAACAGGCCCCCCACGAAATCGTCCATGTACGGGGAAAGGACGGGGGAGGGATTGGCCGCCCAGTAAGCCGCGAGGGCAGGATGGGTCGGGCGGCGCCGAGCGGCTACGCGGGGGGCGCGCAGAAAGGCGACGAGGGGCCGCATCAACTTGGTAAAGACGGGGGGGGGAGTTCGTCCATCCGAAGCAAAGGCCGGGCGCCTCGAAAAGTTGGCCATTCACCGCGAACTGAAAATACCTCACGGCTTTGGCCTCCACGCGAAGGTGATGGAAGGCATCGCGGACGTCTCAGCCGATCAGGCGGTGCCCCTTGCGTAGAGTGGGCAGGAAAGTCCGCAGTGTCTCGAATTTCGTTGATAACTTGGTGGTGTGTTGATTGAGGTGACGAAGGTCCACCACCAACCGGAAGCCGCCGTCCTTCTTCGGGACCATGAAGGCGCGGGAGACGTGGGTGGCCGGGCTGCGGGAGTAGCGGATGGCGCCCGTCTGCAGGTAATGGGTCTTGAGGTCCTCCCATGCGGCGAGCGCTGGCCCCGCGAGCCAGCATGTCCCGTGATGGAACGGCGGGGGCGGTTGATGGTTCCACACCACCGGAACGCCCTCCCGGATCCAGCGCAGAATCGTGGAAGAGGCGCCCAGTTGGCGCCAGAGGGCGATGTTGCGGCGGAGCCGCGTCGAGAAGAACTGATCCCCCGGGAAAGGAGGGGGGGGTGGGGGCGGGGCCCAACGCCGGCGGGGTCCCCTCGGGGGATGGTGGCCTTGGCGTGGGGACATGCCCGCTGACTCGCAGCTTCGTAAGGGCGGCTGCGATCGCCCGGAGCTCCGCGGGGGAGCTCATGCAATGTCTTGGAAGGGGTTGCCAGACGGGGCCGGGGAAGAACCGCCGGCACCGGAGCCCCGTCTGCGACCGCCGCGATTGCCCGACCGGCCACGCCCTATCCCACGTTGGCTGGAAGCTTGAGAACCGGAGCCGCCAGTGCCCCGACCGTCGCGTCGTCCGCGAGCAGCCCCCTCAGCCTGGACCTTGAGGGTGGATTTTTGGATCTGGGCGCGGATCGCTTCGGTAGTGGCCGCCTCCAAAGTCGTTTGGTAGCGGGCTTGGGCACCGGCCAACTGAATGTTGGTATGGAGGCTCTTGTAGGCTTCAGACAAAGGGGTGCTGGCGTAGGACGCTTGATTGCGGCGCACAGCCAAGGTAGCAGAAGCGAGGTCGGTAACGTCGGCGTAGAGGGAGACGAAGGGCTCCAAGGCGGCCTTGACCTCCAGTGGAATGGACTCGTGGGCCACCAGGGCGATAAGGCGGATCTGTAGATCGAAGAGAAACGAGACCACCGGCGCCCAATTCGCGTACTCCGCGAAATAGCCCGATCGGTGGCCCAAAGCTTGAGCCACAGTGATGCCGTCGGCGGTCTGCAGAACGTCGAACCACTTGCCGAACTGGGAGGGTGGGCGGGGAACGGGATTGTTCCTGGCCGGTTGAATGTTCTCGCCTGATCGCAGGACCAACAAGTCGGCGAGCGTAGGGGAGAGAGGAGCCGCAAACCGTTGGGCCAGAGCCTGCAGACGATCTGCGACCTCCTTGGCAGCCAATTGGGCGCGAGATTGCTCAGACAAAGCCGCCCGCTCCGCCGGATCCGCAGCTCCCGAAGATGATGCAACACCAGGCAGTTGGCCCAACAAGGTCTGAAGGGCCTTGACGACCTCCTCAGGGTCGACAGGCATAGGAGCGTCGGCGATGGCCTACTCCAGAGGTGCGGAAAAACACGGGCAATGGCCCGGCGCAACAGATCCTTTCCAAGGATCGAACACAATGCCGATGGGACCGGCTCGCTGCAACGCGACACGCAGTTGGAGCGAGAAAACGAAGTGCAGTATGGCTCCTGACAGGTCTCTTAGGCGGCGCTGCCACTCGCGACCCACTCGGAGCCGTTGGAAGTCGTCCCGTCATGCTTGTCGGCCCCAAGGTTCCCTGCCGCCACAGCCTGCGCGCGCTTCTGCCAGGACGAGAAGACAGAGCCAGCCGAATCACCGGTGAGTCACTGGAATTCTCCCACCCTATTTCCGGGCCTACCGTAACCTCGCCTACTATGCGTAACCTACACAACCCCACTCCCCACATATGAACGGTCTGCAGGTCCTTACTTGTAAGTTCAGCACTTTTGTACATATACCCCCCTCGCAGGCGGCCCCCCCGCCACCGGGGCACAACCGACGACGATGCGGCTGCCGGGGCTGCTCCCCGTCCTGGCCGCCCTCGCGCTCGCCCTCCGCTGTGCCGCCCACAAAACCCCCCTCCGCGGGCTGGACCCCGCGCTGGCGCACCACTACACCGGCCGCAATGACTCGTTCACCTGCATCGACGGCGCCCCGACGATCCCGTTCGTCCGCGTGAACGACGACTACTGCGACTGCCCCGACGGAAGCGACGAGCCCGGGACGTCGGCATGCCCCGTTGGCCGCTTCCATTGTCGCAACAGGGGCCACGTGGCGGCGACGATCCCGGCGGCGTTCGTCGATGACGGGATCTGCGACTGCTGCGACGGATCCGACGAGATCAGGGGCTGCCCGAACAAGTGCATCGAGCACGGAAAGCGGGTGCTGGCTGAGCTGAGGGGGAGGCTGAAGGCCTATGAGGTGGGCTTGAAATTGAGGGGGGATCACATCGGCGCCAACCAGGGGAGGCGCGGGGAGTGGGAGAGGGAGGCGGCCGATCTTGAGGCCAAGTTTGTGGGCCAGGAGAAGGCGGTGGAGGCGGCCAAGGCCAAGAAGGCGGAGCTGGAGATGCTGGAGCACGAGCGGCGGGAGGCCGAGAAGGCTGCCGCGGATGGACCCCCGGGATCTGGGGGAGAAGGGGAATTGGGCGAAAGTGTGGTGGTCGAGGGAGGCGGGAAGGGGGCTGGTGGCCCGGGGGCGGGGCAGGGCCAAGGAGAGGGCGAGAGCGGTGACGGCGGCAGTGGGGAAGGGGGGGATGCCGAGGATGGCGCAGAGGAATTTGTGGTTGGGAAGGAGGGAGACGGGGGAGCTGAGGCTGGGGTTGAGGGCGAAGGGGATGGCAAGGCAGGCGGGCTGGAGGGGGAGATCGAGGAGGAGGAGGAGGACGATGATGAGGAAGGAGAGGAAGACGATGGGGGCGACGATGGTGAGTACGCCACCCCCGACCCTCCTCCGCCATCGCCACCGCCAGCACCGGCACCTGCCGACCCCAAAGGCCATCTGGAGATACGGGGTGGGTTCCAGGGCTGGATGCAGTGGCTCTTCAGCCCCATTAAGCCACTCTTCGGTGCGTTGCGTGCAGGCAGCGGCTCGGGGGATGAATCCAAGGGGAGGAACAAACCGAAGAAGGAGAAGACGGAGGTACAGAAGGCTCAGGAGGAGGTGCGAAAGGAGGAGCGGGAGATGGACAGACTGTCGAGAGAACTGGACGAGGTCAAGACAAAACTGGACAGGGACTATGGCCCTGAAAATGAGTTCCTCTACCTGGCTGGCAACTGCTATGACGCCGTTGAAAACCAGTATACTTACTCCATCTGCCCCTTTGACAAGGCCACGCAAAAAGAGGGCTCGCATTCGACAAACCTTGGGAGGCACAGGGGCTTCGAGGACGACTATCGCAAGCTTGTGTTTGACAAGGGTCAGAAGTGCTGGCAGGGGCCGGACAGGAAGATGGTTTTGAGTCTCGAATGTGGTGCTGAAGAGAAGTTGGTGGATGTTCAGGAGCCAAGCAGATGTGAGTACTCTGCCCGGCTTCAAACGAGTGCTGCCTGCAGCAATGTCGAGCTTGCAGCAATCAAGCAGCAGGTGGCAGAACTAGAAGCCCAACTCGAGGGCCACGACCCCACTGAACTGTAGCACGAGATGATCCAATGGGAATTCCCTTGCAAGCTACTTGTGATGCTTTGGAAATAGGATTAGGCAGGAGAACAGTGGAGCTGTGGATGCAAGACACATAGAATCACTTTGCCAAGCTGTGGTGACTGGGACCTTGGCATATTTAACGCAAATCCAACCAGTTGCGGTGCTTTGTGATGGTAATTGCAGCTATGCTCCAAACAGTGACACACAAGTCGTTGAGTGCAGCATCCACAAATCCAAACAACTCAACGACTTCATAGCACCACCAGTCTTTGTTTGCAACGCCCGTGTGACGTTTCGTGCTGATTCATTTCGAACTGCTGGACAGCAGTTCGGCACACTTGGGTGAAGACAGACCAGACACATTGGCATGGGTCAACTGAATCAATCTGAATTAGGTTAATAATTCCACACCAAATCGTCAAATATTTTGACACCGCTCTGTCCCCATAGTCGCCAATGATACATCTACTCCCTCCAGCTGCCAAACTTCCCACCAGCCATCAGAATAAAGAATCCCCGGCCACTAAGGCCCAAACGCACAGGGTACCATACAGCCCTCAAACACGCACAAAAACTCTTCGCCGCCAAAGGCCACATGGCAGAACAAGTAAAAAACTGGGGCGCTGCCAACGTCCCGTAAACCCTCAGCACAGTGTGCAAGGCCCCTTCCACATTACGCGATACCAGACGTCGTCTGCGAAACGTTGGCGATCATCTTCTTGTCTCCATTGAGCACGGCGATCGACCCGTCAGCATCCACGTCCATGATCACAGAGTCGCCTTCCTTGATGTCACCAGCCAGCATCCTCTCTGCCATCGAGTCCTCGAGCAGCCTCATGATCGAGCGCCTGAGAGGCCTCGCGCCATATGCGGGATTGAACCCCTCGTCCACCAGCCTGTCCTTGAACCTCTCTGTCACCTCCAGCTTGATGCCCTTCTCCTCGCTCCTGAGGAAGACTTCCTTGAGCATTATGTCAGCGATCTGCTTGACCTCGCCTTTGGTAAGCTGGCGGAAGACAATTATCTCGTCCACGCGGTTGAGAAACTCAGGTCGGAAATATTGCTTCAGCTCCTCATTCACGAGTGTCTTGATGCGGTTGTAGCTGCCGCACAGCGCACACAGAGCAATGACCATAGGGAGCAAGCAGTGTGCATCCAAACTGGCAAACGAATTTGTCATTCAAGTGAAAGCAACATATGGCGGCAAAACCCATAAACCCACATCTGTCTGTTAGCTGCCTCTCTTGGGAAAAATTCAGAAAATTGGAGCAGCATTTTTATAACTATACACTTGACAACCAGGCAAGAATATTACCGTTATGTATAGGAAAGCACACAGCAACACCTACAGGCAATGTTAATGAGCCTCCGTTCTCCATCTGCACAGCTGCATTTGCTCAATTTCAAGGCAACACGGACCACCAACGTCAGATAATTCAGCAGCTGCAAGACCCAACCCGCACCAGTGCACCCACCTGCTGTCCTCCTCATCGACGTCCAGCTGGAAGCCGATCTTTCCACCGCCCTTCTCGATGACGCTGCTGCCCACGTTGCTGGTCATGATCAGCAGCGTGTTCTTGAAGTCCACAGTCCGGCCCTTGGAGTCGGTGAGCCGGCCATCCTCCAGGATCTGGAGCATCATGTTGAAGACATCGGGGTGCGCTTTTTCGATTTCATCAAACAGGATGACCGTGTATGGCCGCCTGCGCACAGCCTCTGTCAGCTGGCCTCCCTCGGAGTAGCCCACATACCCAGGCGGGGAGCCGATCAGCTTGGACACAGTGTGCCTCTCCATGAACTCGGACATGTCCAGCCTGACCATCGCATCCTCTGAGCCAAAGTAGTAGGCGGCCAGCGTCTTGGCGAGCTCAGACTTGCCAACACCCGTGGGGCCTGAGAATATGAAAGAGGCGATGGGCCTGTTGGGGTTCTTGAGGCCGACGCGGGCACGGCGGATGGCCCGGGAGATGGCAGTGACTGCCTCCTCCTGGCCAATCACGCGCTTGTGCAGGGTGTCCTCCATGTTAATCAGCCTTTCTGTCTCGTCACTGGAAACCTGGGAACGACACCACTATTCCAATCAATACTGCCTGTCAAGGCAGAAGGGGCCACCCCAAAGGCACTTGCGCAGGTGTGGGCACAGGCACAGGAGGCAGGGGTCATGCTCAGCTGCACAGGCAGTGTGCAACAATCACCCGGTGGATGGAAATCAGCACAAGCAATTGGCATCCAGGCTACAATGCTCTCCATCGGCTGCCAAGGATTGCACCATCCGTGCTTGCCCTGCTTCTCAGCTAACGAAAACAACTCCAATCTGCAAGACATCTTGCAACTGTGCAAGGGAACAACGTCACCCTAAGGTTAAAAGTCAGCTTTGATACAAGTCGGCAGAGAGCATGTGTGCAAGGGCCAGTCGCACCTTCTCCACAGGGATTCCAGTCCACTGAGCAACGATGGTGGCAATGTCTGACTCAGTCACCACTGGGCCGCCAGTGTCACTGCTCTCAGCCTCAGCCTCCTCACCCTCCTTGGAGCCCGCAGTGATGGCCTGAATCTTTGCTTTCAGCTCCATCTCACGGTCACGCAGCTGGCCTGCCTTCTCAAAATCTTGTCCCCTGGAAGGTAGTTCACAAAGGTTGTCAGGACACTTGCAGTGGTTCGATCCAATCACTTATGGCAGACATTCTTCCTTAGATCAAAGCTGAGTGCGATCCATGCTGATGTATACATAGCGCTGCAGGGCACTTCAGGGCATCAACGATTGTCGGTTCCAGGAACATCAAAATTCTGCCCCAGAGATCAATAATCATACAACTTCCCATCCAAACCCAAACTAACACCATAGTGATCCTGCTGACAGCATCCCCAATAGCTGCTTGATGGCTTTGCACAGGACGGCACCAGCTTACAGGGTACTGAAATCGGTGTCAGGGAGTGAGATGATGCAAGTGCGTGCCAGCCGGAAGAATGTCTCAATATAAGCCCCTAGTAGACAAGGGCTACACCTGGCTGGGATAGCTTTCTTTAGATACAGTGGCCTCCTGCACCAGGGCTTTAAAACCCCACCCAAAATGCTCTCTCCTGAGCCATCCTGCTGCACCAGTTGATGCATACCTGACAGCCGCATCTTTCTCCTTCAGCAGTGCCCTGAGTTCCTTGTCCAAATCACGTGCCTCCTCCGGCAACTGGGCATGCCTCAGCCTGACTCTGGACCCAGCCTCATCGATAAGGTCGATGGCTTTATCGGGCAAAAACCTGTCGCTGATGTACTGTGACGAGTATTGCGCTGCCGCCTCAAGGGCCTCATCCGTGTATGTGAGCTTGTGATGGGCCTCATACCGCTCGCGCAGCCCCTTGAGGATCTGCTCTGTTTCCTCTACAGTGGGCTCTGGCACCTGGACAGGCTGGAAACGCCTGCAACGATGCATGTTGCTGATGTCACCACCTTTGCTCGTTTGACATCCAAGGTGTATGACAGACGGCAACAACCATGCCCAGCGCTGACACCACGGCAAGTATTTGGGAAATTGGGGATCATCGCCAAAAGAATGGCAAATGACAATAGACAAAAGACCACAGATTGAATAATATAGCACCTACACTACCACCCACCATCTGCTGTGAATAGCAGCCAGCTCAACAGTGTACTCCAATACAACTGCAGTGTGGCAGTCATTGCACAGCATCTACGATGTTTCACATGTTGAAGCCATGGACAGCACCACACAATACCCAAAAGGAAAAAGATTGTCTCCCCAGACTATGGCTCTTCAGTGGCCTTACCTCTCCAGTGCAGGGTCTTTCTCAACATGCTTCCTATACTCATCCAGGGTGGTGGCACCTATGCACTGCAGCTCACCGCGTGCCAGCGCAGGTTTCAGGATGTTCGCGGCGTCGATGGCACCCTCAGCTGCACCAGCACCAATCAGAGTGTGCACCTCGTCGATCATCTGTAGGGGGCCACAAGTCATTATCAGTATGCCAGCTATGTGGTAAACTGCCCTGCATCAGTCAACTCAGCAACCTTAAGACAACCATATCCTTCCATATAGGGAAGTGAGTCTTTGATTGTCATCGAGCTTCCAGTACGCCGCAAGGCAGGTTGGGTGAGCCAATCACAAAACTATCCAGAAACCAGCACTGTGGCCGCAGAAAGCGTCAATCGTCACATTGTGCCACCAAGACCACACTCTTCGCCACAGTGTGCTATCCCCATATGCACAGGGGAGAGTTTTGAAGATTTCGCACTCAGCGAGGGACGCCCAACGCAAGACAGCTCAATGTGCAAGCTCCCTTGCCACAAGCACTTGGCAAGAACATGATTTTTGCTTTTCACTTTGCTTCAGGGGCCATACTCTGGTATCAACAGCTTCATGCATCTGGAACCTCAAATGATTGTTGTTAGCATACAAGTTGAGCCCCCTACTTCTGTGGGGCACTGGAACACATTTACTTGGTAATATCTTCGTTTGTATGACCACCACCTGATATCATCAGATGCAACTTTGTCATGTTTCCTGACAAATGTATCATTGTCTGTGTCATTATCTGGCCTGCTTTCTTGAGACCTGTGCATTTGTCGGCTTTGGTTTAAGTGGGGACTGGTTTGCTTTTGAGCAAGAATTTTGAAACTGGCAACTTAACATTTTCTGATACCCTGCGTAGCACAGCCACACGCCATCACCAGCGCATTGCTTGTTACCTTGCCTGCAAGGATGTATTCTGATATCCTGACAAATGCAGCCTCCAAGGAAATTACTGGAGGAGCTCAACAGGCATAACAAGACCAAGCCCTTGCACCTCGGAAGGCAAAGCCATTTGCAGCAGCAGTCACTGAGTGCGTATTGATTTCCACACGCAAGTGTGCGGCCCAGTGCATGTGCAACTCACCAATATTATCTCGTCGTTCTGCTTAATCTCCTCCATCAGCTTCTTCAGCCGCTCCTCAAACTCGCCACGATACTTGGTTCCCGCAACAAGCAGGCCCATGTCCA